GAACGAGGTGGAGAACCAGGTGGAGAACCAGGTGGAGAACCAGGTGGAGAACGAGGTGGGGATGAAGTGGAGAATAAGCTGAAACAGGCAGACAACAGGCAAGGAAGAGTTGGACAAGCTTGACAGTTCCTCACGGCTGTCAGAGGCTTATAAGTTGAGTTAACCCCTTTATGTTAACCTATTATCATCATTATCATACCACTCTAACCCCTGAGCTGTTTTTCTCGCTGAAGCTTACCACCATCATCAAGTTAACCAGTCACTGTTTGTGTAAATCAACAAACTGGGAATTTCATTGTAGTAAATAAAGCTGTATGTCAAGTTTTAAACTACAGAGTTTGTTAAATTCCAAATGTCTGTTCTTACATGTTTAATTAAACTGTTAAGATAGATTACCATTTGGTGGGGGCTCAAATAATATAATAATTCTTTAATTATTAATAATAACACCGGGAGAAGGTAGATGACGGAGGAATCACTTGCCCTGTCTAATAATTCATTAACATTAAGTATGATAGACATCTAAAATTCCTTGCCTTCTCTTGTGGGTACCAAGTTCAGCTAATGTTAATATACTTAACGAGCCAATATGGCTGTTTTCTTGGATATCCAGGACTTTGTCTGAGAGCAACATAGCTCAGATTTTAGTTCGGTGTATCTAGTGGAGAGAATGTGTTGAAAGGAAGATCCCTACTCAACAACATAAACATTTAAACCACGCGTCACGTCACAGACATATAGGGCTAGACATTTATTATAAACCAATCGGCACTAGCTGAATGATGTGATCGACATATCTTCCCAGGACAGTACCTGGCATCCATTTAAGGCTTGGTCTATCTGGGAGCCAAGGTCATTTTTAGAAAATATGTAGATATACATAGAGCAATTGAATACATTTGTTTAACTAATGAACATATCCATGCGTATTTACTTTTACTCGATAATGTCCTTACAGCTTCGTTTGACACCGATTATGATACAACTGTACATAAGCCTCACTAAGGAAAAACAGGTCGTCGGGGACATTCCGAAAGAAAGTGATCATTCTACTAATGAGTTCTTTGTGTAACAATCTGAGTAAATGGAGCCGGGACAAACCAACAAGCTATGTCCACACGAAAGAAAGCAGGCAGCGAAGTCTATCTTATCCACCCAGTACCTCAGTGGATCTATATAGCGACTTTTACTACTATTATCCACACAAGTTCAGAGACGGGAAGCTTAATTGTAAGTATGTTTGCTTATTGTGAGTTTACATCTGTATTCGTTGATATTTTTGTATAGCAGTAGTAGTAACAGTAGTAGTAGTAGTAGTAGTAGTAGTAGTAGTAGTAGTAGTAGTATAAGTAGTAGTGGTATAAGTAGAATTAGTAGTAGTAGTAGTAGTAGTAGTAGTAGTAATAGTAGTAGTAGTAGTAGTAGTAGTAGTAGTAGTAGTAGTAGTAGTAGTAGTAGTAGTAGTAGTAGTAGTAGTAGTAGTGGTGGTGGTGGTAGTAGTAGTATTTGTTGTAATTTTTTTTTCTGCTAGTATCGTTGTTTTTGTTGCTGTAGTAGTAGTTGTCCGATTAACACCCAAGAAATCGCTTTTTTAACACATCTATGTTATAATAACGAATGCATATGTGTTTGTACTTCAACCGACTCTCTTGTAGTGGGCTATATTAGTTTTTCCTCTATTTTGTCAATACCCAGCTGTTACACTATCGAATCGTAACATTCCATTTCCGACGCTTATCTGTGCATTGATTTACGCTATCTTAACTCGATCCTCCTTTGAAGCAGATGGCATAATACGCAGTTAAAGATCTACTGCGACAGGCACTGATAAAGATTTCATTGTAATGTTTCGTTTTTTTTTTTTTAAATACGGTGTTTATAAGTTATGGTGTGTGCTTTTCATGACAATAAATTTTAAGAAACAATAATTAGGCTCCTTTTAATGACCACAATAACTTTAACGTGAAGTTTAGCAATATTTTATGGCATTAATCGCAATGGAGAACTAGGCATGGCGGAATGCTTTGTTTCGAAGTTATTTGTGCTTCCGACAGCGCTCTGCTAATGCAGTTTCCACATATGGACGGAATTCTACAGTTTCGTTGCCTGAGCTATTGAGTTTCGTGCTTTGTGCAGCCCTATGAGCTGTGCTTTCATGTGGAATGCCTACATTTCTGGTGGCGACTGTGGCGACTGTTGGTTTTGGCGCCAAGGAACTGCCATATGCATTTACTGCGTGAAAATATGAGAGTGACTGCAGTCAAGCTAATACACAGGAATTCCAGAGACATTAGACCAAAAAGCTCGACAAAATGGGAAAGCAGAAAAACGTGCACAAAACAACACTTTTTTTCTGCTTCTCCATTTTGTTGAGCTTTCTTAGTCTAATGTCTCTGGAATCCGTGGGCATTTACTACATGCGCATGTTTCTTGATTGTGCGGGGGCACTTGTTTGTTCACCACTTTGTTTGTTTTTCAAAGGGGACAGTGAGAAACATTTCATTTGATTTTTACTGGCAAGGGAATGGAGCGAGTGTGGGGTGATCTGATTACAGTAAAATTGAAACCTCGACTAAGAGTAACCGTTTCTGGACATTAGCGAATAGTTTTCCAATACGATTTTTGTTGTATAAGACACTGGGGTCTAGGTTCATTCATCTGCTCTAGAATAGTTCTTTCTTTTCGGCGTTACGTTAATTAGTTTAGTGTTAAGTAAATTTCAGAATTCTATAGGAATGTCTTTTATAGCAGGAAATAAGGATGGGCACGGGTCATCCAGCTCAATTTGTCATAACCATGAATTTGTAAAGGTGTTTGCACTTTACTCACAACTGAATACACTAAAGAAACAATATATCCACCGCGTAAATGACACAATTGTAGCAAGATTGTCTTAATATTAATAGTACAATTTCTATCAGAATCACAACCAAAATCAAAGCAAAAGGTGGAACATTGCAAATTTCATATTGATTATTAAAATAATTACATGATATATACATATAAAATAACAATTTTATACAATGAGTATTGAGTTAGCACTAAATGCACCAGTTATAACACTGAAAGCTGAACAGGATGTTTGGAAAAAAAAATTACTACTGCTACTCCCAAAAGAACTTGTTGGCACTAAGCTACCTCTGCCTTGTAATGCGGCTCTACTGCTTAAAGTTTAGGGAATGGGTTTAACAATTACATTAGCCTCGAGTTCTAGGGTTCTCTTCTTCTTCTTCGTTTTCGAAGTAGCCTATACGAAAGCTATCGTGCAGTCTATATCCCTGGTGCACCATACAGTTTTGTTTTCATTGTGGTTGGAACAGGGCAGAGTGGTTCTCTGCTGGTAGCATACAGTTGACAATGTTGGAGTACATGCTCGGCATTTTCTGGTGCCACGTTACAGGGACACGTCTCCATGTTTCCTATATCAAAATGTTTCAACATATGTTGTCCAAGTCTGTTGTTCCTTGTCCTTAGTCTGAATATAATATCTTATCACACTCTTTAAAGACGATGAAGCGAGTCTTAAGGAGAGAAATGTGTGTGTGTGTGTGTGTGTGTGTGTGTATATCAATCCACTTTATGGATACTAGATTGTATAAATATCTTAGTCTCTTGGTAGTAGTAGTAGATTTTTACCCCACTGGACATCACACAAGCGATAAACACCCGATGACACAAAGTGCCACCATGTGGATGAGGATCACCGTGGAGAGGTCCCAGAAACCGCGTTCAACCATTAGACCACATTTATGGTTAGGCCAAATTGCGGCCCCTGGCAAGAGCCAGAGTAGGGCTTCAAATAACGACAAATTGCATCTCACAAGGAGATGACTGGATTTAAGTCTCTTTGTGTTTGAAGTCACTATTTGATTGTACCATGTTACTGCCGCTTCTGGTCAATCTATTCGCTATTTCAATACCTTCCAAGCCATAGTGACTTTGAATTCACTGCAGTTCAGACTGTTTTACTGAAGAGCTTGATAATCAATAAGGGTTTGATATAAGGGCGCACAGTTTATTAAATAAAAACACTATTGTTGTGGTTTTGTACACAGTATTCGAGAGTCACACCATGAAAAGGACCATGTGATATTTCCGGAAACAGCCGTGAGTGCACTTTAGCCAACCTTGTTTGTGGAGGCGGTACATATTTTGTTTATTAATCGTGCCGCATATTGTTTGAATATTTAACAGTTATGTGAGGAACCGACATCAATCATCATAGCACGTGACTGACTGGTCTTATTGCTTTAGGAACATTTATCATTAAGCAGCTGTAACTTTTAAAAGTAAAGAAAAAGTAAAGGACCCTTTTCCACGCCTTAAGGCATATAGGGCATATAGGGCTAGACCTATATTTTTATAGACAGATCGGCACAAGATGGGTGATGTGGTCAGCCTCACGCCTGTCACTTTAATGCTTTTGAAATATTGAGATCGCCTAAGAAAACCTGTTCAGTGTAATATTATTTTAGAAAATGTATGCGAGTTTAGGATAAATAATTATTTTCTCAGTTTATATTATATTTTCACTAAAAATACATGAAAAATACACAACACATAAAGTTTATTTGCCAAGACAGAGACTAATATAGTCACAATTAGGTGAGTGAAATTTCTAGGTTGGAGCGATAAATGCAATAAGACATAGCAGGCTAAATGAAATAAACGCTTTATTGCGTTAAAGACGTATAAATAAATATAATTCACTTAAGTATATAAAATAATAATAATTATCTAGCATTAAATGTTAACATCAGTTTATAAGTTATACTTATGCCAATTTAAGTTACACGGTTATAAGTTACACGGTTATGTTATGTTTTCGCCGTGTTATTGTGACATTTGGCTTCTTTTAAAATAAATTAAGCTGGCGAAGTCGACAGTCGCCTGCCCTATAGACAACATTGTAATAAGTTATACCCAGGAGAAACCGCATCGAGTCGACTGACAGCGATTATAAATGTAGATTTATTACTTGATTCTCGGTTTCATTCATAATGGAAATTGCTAAAGCAATGTTTGGAGAACGTTCTAATGAGGGATACAGCAGCAAGGCCACTGAGGGTAAGTTGAAAATGTACACACACGGCTAGATAATTATTCCCTTGCTGAAAATGGTGCTGGCAACAACAGTCAGTTCAGTTAGTCGTCTGCTACGTGCTCGCAGTTGGAGTCCTAATTACAACTTGTTTTTCTTATCTTTCCTCAAATTGTAAACTACACGTCTTGTTATGTTAACATATAGGGCAGTTTCTGTTGTAATGCGGTTTCCATATTTTGTATGGGCGTAGAAAAGATTACGATAATCAGCAGTTGACGTGTCTAGTAAACACAGATCATTATAATAATATTAATACAGAGGAGTGAGGGACAAGCGTAGTGTGTTAGCGCCCACACACAACTCCTCTGTACAGTCAGTATCAAATTGTACAATGTACTACTACAAAAATTGGAGAGTTTGTAACCCAGTCAGTGTGAGCTTGCCGACATAGTTGTTGGTTCAGTCATTAGTTTAGTTATAGTAATGTAGAGCTAAAGACGCAATTTTATTTTGGCATTAAGCGATTCTTAAGTGTACTCTTAGATCTACTCAATATTGCAAAATGCTCACACAGGATGTATTCTGGAATTTTATGGGTAGATGAGGGGCCACTAAGAAAACTGGTTATCGAACCCAAATACACCCTGACCTACTAAAATATATAATCACAACCCTTCATCCAATCAATTACCAGAAGTGGTCAAGAAGTAATTGTCACAAAACTATTTTGTTTAACCCTCAGGGTTATAATGAGGATATAAAGTGTTGATTGAGATTTCAGAGTATATATTTTTGCTACTTTATATATGGTTACTAGACTCCATTAGAGAAGTAAAGATTAATGTCACCATTACTGACCTTTTCAGTGGTTGATACCTTTACAGTTTTAAATCTTCAAAGCAGGGTTTTATTTATTTTTTAGTAGTATGCAACTGTACACAGTACTGGCACCTGTTTGTGCAGGTATAATTTTTTTTCTGTGCTGCTGTAGTAGACACTTTGTGGTGAGTACCGGCACCCTTATTAGAACATGTCTGCTGAATACTGGCATCTTTTATTCAAAATTTTTTTTTTAATTACAAAAAAAATGACAAATTTAAAATAAAGCCCTGTGGACCAGTTTTTCCAGATAGTTGTGTATCAGATATTGCAATTACAGATAAAAATACTTAGGATGTAACATATACCATTTCTTCTTCTTCGCGTTCACCAGCTGTACACTCTGGCGGAAAGTTCTGGTTGTTCGTCCACTTCTGAACTGCAGTCCTGCTCCAGAACCTGAGTGTTGTGTTTGCATCAGTTTTACAGATATGATTCACTTGAGTGCAGACTGTTGGTTTCTTGCCTCTCAGGCAGACGCACTCTGACTTCAAAGGAAGCTTCCCAATTAGTCGACTCTTATGACATGTTTTTGGGTAGGCAGTGGGTCGATTCTTGTTTTCCCCACAATGGGGCCCCGAAACCCCCACGTGATTGTCAAATCTGTTTTAACTTTCCATGTAGGACCTTTAGCTCCATTTTGGGTGAAATATAAAGAGTGGACCCTGCTTCACTAACAAGCATGTTGTAACTAAAAGGCGACCCATTAAGGGTTTGCTGAAATCAGATGTATCAGGCCAAAAGGTGTAGATATGACAGCCTATCTGGAAACCACAGTACAGCATGCCAGCCACCATTTTGAGGGTGAATGCAGAAGAAGATTGGTTAACTGAGAATTGAGTATTGGCCAGATTCCTTCTTCACTTCCTGCTGCATCACTTTCACCAGACTGGCGATCAATTTTCTCATCTGAATGGTACACATTCTTGCGCAAGACCCTAACCATGCCTGCCTTATCGTGCACCAGTATTCCAGCAAGTTGAGCAGAGTTGCCCATTCGATCTGCCTGTTCCTTTCCCAAGACACTAGCATATCCCGGAGAAAAGATTCAGATAATGCTCGTCTCTTGTGACCTTTGAAGCGAAGGATGCCACTCTGCACAAAGCATGCCTGTCCTCACCGTCTTCAGCATGCTTTCTGAGTCAGTTGCAATCATGATGAATGTTTGAATATATCGTGTTCTCTAACCATCAAAAAGCTGCAGTGACCGCCTCCACCTCCGTTCTTAAGCTGGATGTTGTGGTATCATATTCTAGGCTATCCTATACCAAATGTCAACCATTAGCTTTTGCTAAGAACTCCCAAGCATGTCTTTTGCCTTTTGATACTGAGTTGTCTATATAAATAATCACACCCTCTGAATGAGCATTGTCTTGAAATCATTGCGGAATTTCCACATCCTTGGAACCTGCTGGCCACTCTGCACTCGTCAGTCATTAGTTGCGGTTTCAACTTTACTGCAAATAGCATACTTACTCCACTTTGTCAGTGGAAATCACACAAAATTTCCTTTGCTGTCCCATTTAAAAAATGGTGAAAAACATGTCCATTTCCACAAAATCTCACACACTGAAAATATTTATTAGGTGATTGTCATATCTGTTAACCCCAGAGAAAAAAATCTGTATGCCACACAGTTAACAGTTTTTAATGAATTTCATTTACTAATGTGAGTTATGACCTGGGAGTAAAGCAAGGCAGCTTGGAGTAGGTTTCCTTCTGTCGGAGTACATTTGCACGAGAGGCTAGGAACCAACAGTCTGCATACAAATGAGCCAGATCTATTAAACGAATGCCCGTGTAAAACTCAGTCCTAGAACAGGACTTAAATCTAGATGTGGACGAACAACCAGCACTTTCTGTCAGATGAACACAAAGAAGATGAAGATGTGACTAAATGGTGAGGGTTCATTTCTCTCAATCAGAAGAGGACTTTGTACTCTCAGGCAGAAGGGAACACTGCTGTAACCTAGACATAGTTTAATTTTCAATGTTGAATAAGAATCGACATCACAGCACGCAGGACACTCCCATAAGTCCTCAGTCCCATCTTCAGCAGCAGGCGAAGAGTTCCATTTCTGATGGTACGAGTAATTATCTAATTGCATATCCATTTCATCCTTCCCCTGAGTGTTGAGCATCGGCCAGATCCCCTGGTAACTCCTCGCAGCGCCATTCTCCTTAGACCATAATGATCTATCTGTGCCTTCGCACTGTCCGAAGACACAGTGTTATTCATATTATTTGAATATACATTATACATTTTTTGTCATAATCACAACCCAAAAAATGTTGACAGGACAATATAGCAAATAATAAGAATAATACAAATGGTAAAAATGTCTGAAAAATTGATAACAGGATATAAAAAGTAGCAAAAATATTCTCTGAAAAGTCAATGAAGAGTTTATATCCCAGTTGTACCCGTGAGGGCTGAACACAATATGTTTATATGAAGAATAACTACTGCTACTGTTGTAATACCATGTAAGGGAAGGGATTTTTAATTATTGATTGTCAAAAAACATGTCACCCTGTTCACTGTGTGATAACCTCCCTAGGGCATGCAGCCTTTTAAAATCTTATTTTCACTGTCAACACTATGTCTTTTAGCTTTTTTTTTTTTTAATAACCCTAATGTTTGTTAGTCTTCCTGGCCTCAAATTTTCCTATAACACTGCTGTTGAGTGGTCTCGAGGCATAGGAAATTTTTTTTTTGCAATTACAATCATATATTTAAACATAATTAAAAGTCTGGTTAAGCACCAGCAAAGAAATAAAGAAAAATTTGAGATCATGCATTTTCCTTACAGAAACATATGAATAAAGTCATAGACTATCTCATAGACTTTAAAGAAGAAGAAAGGGACTTTGAGCTGAAATGCTATATGAAAATCCACAGAAAGTCATGGACCAGGAAGTTATGGAGTACCAACATCATAAAAGATGTGAATATCAGGGAAGATTGGCTAGTATATAGCATCTTGTCTCAGAAACTGAAATATTTGGCTATATCAAGTGCCACAGTATATTGCATTAAAATAAGATAAGAAGACTGAAGATATTAGAGGCGGGATGACAGGAATAGAAGATGTTGTATGTGGTAACATAATACAGAAGTAAATTGGTTATTAAACTTATCAAGAACACATGAAACTTGTGTATGGTGGGGTGGGGGCATGGTATAGCTCATTTTATAGCGTGACAAATAAATCGCCTTATGTTCATTAATAAGTTAAGTAAGTGGGTTTAAAGACCCTTTTCATGCTTTAAACACATGGGCATGCAGTTTTAAATGTTAATTGAATTGTAATGACCAATCAACACCAATCTGTGATGTCGTTAACATCACATTGGCTGCCTTTAATTTCCAGGACATTACCTATTTTTCACTTTAGCCTGGATTGACCAGGGAGTCAATGTAAGCTTTTGGGGGATTTGAACCCTAGACCTTTAGGCTGCCTGGCAAGCATCTGTTCGCTAAGTTACCCCTGCTACCACTCAGTAACAACATAGCCCTAATACTTTAATTTTTCTGTTAAAAAGTATATGATATGTGCAGTAACCAATAAGCTTATGGTAAACGAAAAGCATTTGTGCACTCAGTATGTGAGCTGATGAGCTGCAGAATGAGCTATTTAGCTCAAGTGTCATCATTTCTAGTCAATGTGTGAGTTGAAATTGCAGAATGAACTAATCGGCTAAAGTATGATCATTTCTGTTGCAGTGGAGACCCTTTCAGAAGATGAGGAAGAAAATATTATTGCGTCTGTGTCTGGTGAGGGTGTTAGCATCACTGTGACTCCAAGTTTCACAAATAACTCAGACTTCACTCCTACACCTGGAGGCCCATTCTCAGCTTTGACTCCCTCCATGTGGCCACAGGATATCATGGCAAAAATCAATCATCCTGTAAGTTTGCTTTGCATTATTTGTTTCACTGACTACAACACCGGCAGAAAGTTCTGGTTGTTCATCCACCTCTGAACTTTAGTCCCAGAAATGGAGTTTTGCGTATACATCCATTTTACAGATCTGGCTTATTTATATGCAGAATATTGATTCCTTGCCTCTCTGGCAGATACACTAACTTCAGAGGAAAGCCCTAACTGGTCTTATTACATACTTGTTAAGGAGGCAGTGGGACTATTCTTGTTTTCCTTCACAATGGGGCCCCCAGAACCCACACGGGAAGTTTGTTGATTCTGTGTTGACCTCAGGATGTGCCTAGTGTATTTCTTCTCTCATTATTGTCTGTCTTAGGGGTTAAGTTGAGTCAAGAATTGAAATCACAGCACTTGGGACATTCCCATGCATGCTTCATCCTCGTCTTCAGCAGCCAGCGCAGAGTTCCAATACTGATGGTCTTAGGGTTTCTTATGGATGTCCTCATCTCCTCACTTTATTTGTTTCCTATCTAAATGTCTGTTTGGTGATTCTCTGTTGACTTCTCCTTGGGATGTGTCAGGTATATCACTGTCTTCTTTGTTTACTTTATGGAAAAGTGAATGTGATAAAGGTTCTCTTGGATCAAGTGGACTGTGCAATAGAACAGACGGAGCATCCATAGATTGATAGACCTATTCAGCTAGGAGTGAGCAGAGGAACTGGAAGATATTCAAAACTGAGGGAAAACGTAGGCAAACTTTCAGTCAGGTAGCAACTGGTACAGTTAGCATATCGACTCTTCATTGGCTACTTGAGAAAGCGATGGAGCACTTGTGGGAATTTCCTGAGTGTAGGGATGTCAGTTCTTGGTTCGTTTATACATCCTTGAGTTTTCATCATCATTTTGCATTTTTATAAACCCCGGCAAACACCACTTAAACTTTTGAGGATATCAGGAGTCAGCGTGCAAAATACACAAGACAGTATGTTGAAGAAGATAAATGTCAGGAGAGTATTGTGCCAGCTTGAGAGGAGAAGTTCTCAGTGTGGGGTCAGCGCTCCATTTTATTGGGGGAGGGGGGGGGGGTGAATAGACTAACTGCCCCTCTGAAAAAATGTTACACAAGGCAACTGGTTAGGGGTTTGCTAAAATAGGATTTGTTGGGCCAAATGGCGCACATATCACAACCTTGCTGTAAAACATGTCAGCCACCCTTTTGAGGGTGATTACAGACAAAGTCTCCTGCTGACTTTTAGAGCGTCCTATCTAGAGAAAGACATAGACCAAGTGATAGTGAAAGCAAGGTCTAGCTATATACTGAGTAAACATGTGTCTTCATCATATTTTTTTGTTTATATTTCAACAGCCAGAAGATCCTAACGGACAGTTGGATTATAGATATGATGAATTTGGTTTTAAAGTGGAGGAGGAAGGTAAGCGACCAATATTAATATTATATCTGTTACAATTACTGATTCCTAGTGAGTTTTCAGTAGTGAAATGATATTTGTTTTAAAATGTGTTTTTTTTCTGGAACATGTTAGGCCATTTATTTTTTTATTTTTTTTTGATAAAAAAAAATACTCCCAGCTACTCATGTATGTTATTCACATGTGCTGCAGATGTTTCTATGAATGTGTTACCCATGTTTGTCCTTGAGCTGTCTCTATAAATATTATATCTGTGTTCATCCTGTATCTGTCTCTATAAGTGTTTTATCTGTGTTTGTCCTGTATCTGTATCTATGAATCTTTTATCCATCTTTGTCCTACATCTGTATCTGTTGATGGTTTATTCATTTTTTGTCCTGCAGCTGTTTCTACTAATGTTTTATCCGTATTTGTAATTTAGCTATAGCCGTGATTGTTTCATCCATGTTTGTCCTGCGACTATCCTAATCATCATCATAAACCACTTCTACTGCATAGCGCCATGGGGAGGAATAATTTCCACATCTGTCCTCTTGCTCTTGTAGCTGATCTTCTGAGATGTAGTGCTTATGATGGTGTTTTGATCTTGCTGCATTCTAACGAGATGGCCAAACCACTTGATCTGCTGTTTCTTGATGAATCTAGTACAAGGTGTCATTCCCCCAAATTGTCTTATAGTATCATTATTATTCTCGATCTCGGATGGTTAGGTTAGCTGCTTTTCTCAGGCAACACATCACACAGGTGGTGACTTTGCATATATGGGCTTTAGATAATGACCATTTTTTTGGCACTGGTAGCTTAATGTTGAAATTAAAATGCTGTTTAAAATCTGTCTCTTTGCACTCATAGTTATGCTTGGATGTCTTAATAATGTTGACAGTTGGTATATAATTGCAAACTCTCTGACATGATTCAGACTAGAACCATTCAGCTGTCTGTGTAGTGAGAGTGGGCTTCTACTAACTTGCATTGTTTTGGCTTTGTTTGCATTCATCTTTATGTTGTATTTACTGCATGCCAAGTTTAACCTGTTAATTTGGTCTTGCCGTCTATCTTCTTCAGGGTAGAACTAGCACTGGTCGTCAGCAAATAGTAGTTTGTTTAGTGTGGGTGAATCGATTACTTCTTCTGATGTGTGTACTTCCTCATGATTATAAAGATCTGTGTTGTCTGTATCAAAACTTGCTTCTTCAGATATTCTGTCTATATAAATGTTAAATAAAAGTAGGGAGAACACACATCCCTGTCTCACATCTGTTGCGATTGTCCTATAAATGTTTTATCAGTGTTTATCCTGCAGCTATCACTATGACTTATTTGTGAATGTTTTATCCATGTTTGTCCTGTGACTGTCTTATGAATGTTTTATTAGTGTTTATCCTGCAGCTATCGCTATGACTTTTTTGTAAATGTTTCTATAGATGGTCCAGAAGAGAACTCCAGTAAACTGTTGAGCACACCGTTTGTGGAAGACCCACAACACAGACTGAAATGGACAGCCTACCTGGAGTTTACACACAACAATGAAGTTGGAGATCTGACTTGGGATAAGGTAAGTAAGCAAGCAGTTTTCATCCTTCTTCTTCCTACTTGCTTATCCTTAACTCTTTGGGTCTCAAGCAGCACATGATGTGTGAATTACCCTATCTGCTGAATCCCCTTGTTAGCTTAACTCTTTGAGTACGTTGAAAAAGGGGGGGGGGGGGGGGGTGTACGATTTTGAAACCCACTAGGGCGTTTTTTAAATCAAAGTGGACATTTTTAAACCACTGAGCACATTTTTCAATTTAAACTGGACAATCGATTTTTGAACAACTCATTACATTTTTCAAACCAAACTAGACAAAGGTGAAGAACAATGTTTTAATGCCTAAATTCAAGGATATGCTGGAACTTTTGTGATGTTCTGGAACATAGAACACAGAAGCTTGTGTTAGTCGATGGAAAAACTACCCACAAGGCAGCTCAAGTCACTGATATTAAAGAGAGCACAGCGAGAAACATCATCAGTGCCTACAAAAGAGAAGGTACCCTTTTCCAGCGAAACTGCTGTGTAAACAACACAGAGAAGCTGACACCCAGTGGTTTGCACCGCATTGAAAACAGCGTTGAAGGACATCCAGATGATACTTTAATGCTGATACAGCAGCGAATAAAGGAGTACGGGACTGACTTGGCTGTATCTTCGATTTTCAGTGGCCTCAAAAAGCTTCTGATTGAGGTTTGAACAACACATCAACATCATGGCAAACAGGTAGTAACCCCTTAGTGGTCTGCTCTTCTTCTAATTCAAGTCTGAGTCCGAAAAAGCCAAGCACAGTCTCTGTAGAACTGGTGAAGATCCTGAAATACTTTGGGTAGATTTTCAACTCCAAATTTTGTGCCCGGGCAGCGCCGTTAGGCTACTCTTTTTGATTTCCAACTGCGAAGAGATTTTTTACATACGCAGCAATACACACGGGCGTCCAATCTCACCACCCAGAGACCCAGGGGAATTACTGGAAGTCCATGTCAACATGAAAAATTCCCAGCCCTTGCCGGGGATTGAACCCGGAAAATCTAGAACTCAAGGCGGACACTCTGCCTCGAGACCACACAGCCCATGCTCTGTCCGGTCAGTAAGCAGACCATCAAAAAATGTTAGCAATATCTGTTAGTTTTTACCAACTATCATATTTAAAATGCTGAGTAATGGGTTAGTAGTAATAGTGCTATTCTTCAGCTTATAGCAGTTGTTGTTGTCTTTCATCAGTTCTCGTTATGCCTAGTGGCACATGAGGCTTCAAAGAGGACTTTGCATGCTTTCCTGTCCTGTGCAGTCTTCAGTGCAGTTTTCTATGTCAAAGATGGCGCACTCAGGTCACTTTCCATAGTTCGTCTCCATGTTGTTTTTGGACGCCCCTGTTTTCTCTTTCCCTCTGGTGTCCATGTGAGAGCTGTTTTGGCAGGTTTTTCATAATTCATTCTCATAACGTGGCCAAGCCATTTCCATCTTCTCTTGGTAATCATACTGTCTAAAGTTTCTTGGTTTGTGACTTGAAGTAGTTTAGTGTTTGAGATTGTATCTGGCCAGAAAATTTTGATAATTCTACGTAGACATGTGTGGTGGAAGGTGGACAGCTTGTGTGCATCCTTTTTGGTCATTCTCCAGCATTCCGATCCATAAAGAAGAAATGGCAAAATGATGCTCTTGTAGAGTCGGAGTTTTGTTCCTCTGCAGTAATTGCAAGATTTCCAGATTTGCCTCATCCTTCCAAAAGCAGCTCTAGCTTTGTTCAGACCTGACTGTATGTCCTCTTCAGTCCCTCTCATTAGGGACACCACACTGCCAAGATATGTGAAATGTTCTACATTTTCAAGAGTTTGGTTATTTATGGTCACTGGTTGTTGGTTTGGACTGCTTGTCATGATCTTAGTTTTCTTTGTATTTATTCTCAGTCCCACCATTTCTGCTGTGCTGTGTAGTCTGTTACTTTTTTCTTGTATATGTTCATGTTTATGTGATAGGAGTGCTATTATCATCTGCAAAATCAAGGTCCTCAAGCATGGTGAATGGAGTCCATCGTATGCCTCTCAATGTACTGTCTACTGTGTTCTTTAGTATCCAATCAATCACAAGGTTGAAGAGGAGAGATGACATAAGACATCCCTGTCTTACACCTGTCTTTACTGGGAAAGATGTATTGTAATTTTGTATACTGCAGGAAAAGTCTTTATAGAAGAGAGCAATTATGTTGACTATTTTTTCTGGAATTGCATAATGTCGTAAAATTTTAAATAGACCGTCTCTATGGACACGGTCAAAAGCTTTCTCAAGGTCCACAAAATTAATATATATATACTTCTCTGCCATTAATTGCATTGTTCTAAAATGTTATGTATGGCCAAGATGTGCTCAGTTGTTCCTCTGCCTTTTCTGAATCCTGCTTGTTCCACTCGTAGACATTTATCTACTCCTTTTTCAATCCGTATTATGATGATTTTACAAAATATTTGGCTTGGTACTGAGAGTAGAGTAATTCCCCTCCAAATATTGCAGTCTGCTAAGTCTCATTTTTGGGGGATTTTGACCATTGTTCCTTCAGTCCAGTCATCAGGCAACACTTCTTTTTCCCCAAATATACTGAACAATGGTTCTAGAATGCTAGCAGTTTTGTTGGGATCTACTTTGAGAAGTTCTGCTGGCAGTTCGTCTTTGCCTGGTGCTTTGTTGTTCTTTAAATTGTGGATAGCTTTAAGGATTTCTTGTTTGCTTGGTGGTTCAGTAATAATGTCAATGTCCTGAGAGGCTGGTTGAATATCTGGGGGATTTTCAGGATCAGGTCTGTTCAAGAGGTCGGAGAAGTGTTTAGTCCACTGCATGTCTTATTTTTGTTCTGTGGTGAGCAGTTGTTGTCTTTGGTGTCAGCAAAAAATAGCATATATGTTGTTTTTTTCAAATTGTTTATTGACTGTCTCCAAGATTTCATCTTATTATAAATTATTTTTTGTCTTTTTATTCTTATTTTTTCCTATCAAAGCGATATCTGGAAGGCTATTAATACGCTAACCAATAAGAAACATTGTTCAGATCAGGCAATACCTAATTCGCTAACATGTGAAACGTTCAGTTCCTTCTTCAAATCAGAAATTGAGTATTTAAAGTCATCAATACCAGATTCACAGTGTGACTTAAGCCTACTAGCATCATTCTGTGAGGAAAAATGCACTACGACTATTTCTCCGGAGATCCCACTTCTGTCTGTTGCTGAAGTGTATAAATATCTCTCCAACCTCAAGCAAACAAACTCCTCTGGCTTAGATGGAATCAGTAATCGAATTCTTCGATGTGCTGCACCAGTCATTAGTGACTCCCTAACATTCATATATAATCAGTGCCTCTCTAAGAACTACTTTCCATCAGCATTTAAAATTGCTAAAGTGTATCCTCTACTCAAACCTGGCTCAGCTGACAACAGTTCTCTTGGCAGTTATAGACCCATTTCTCTACTGTCCTCGCTATCCAAACCATTGGAGAAACACATACATAAAATAACGTTTCAGCATTTAAATAACAACAATCTGATAGTTGATAGCCAATCAGGGTTCAGGCCTATGCACTCTTGCCATACTGCGATGACAAAAATGACAGACAACTGGCACTTTAACATCAACAAAGGCAAAATTTGCGGTGCAGTTTTTGTAGACTTTAAGAAAGCCTTCGATATGGTTGATCATGATATTCTAATTAATAAATTAAAAATATTAAAATCTAACGATAATTTAGTCGAAATAATGCGGCCATTTTTATCTGATAGACAGCAAGTAGTATCCTTCAACAACCGCCTGTCAGAATCCACTCATTTAAATATAGGCTTGCCACAGGGGTCGATTCTAGGTCCACTACTATTTTCCATGTATAATAATGACCTTCTATTACATCTTAGTATAACATGCGATTTATTTGCTGATGACTGTACAATATATACTAGTAATGAGAATCATATTAAGTTAGAAAGATCTTTACAGAAAGAAGTACACAATCTTTGTAAATGGAGCAACAGCAATCGCATGCAAATTAACATAAATAAAACGAAGTCTATGCTTATAACAACCAGACAAAAGTTGCAAACATTAGTACTGCACAAGCCGACACTCGAGCTCTACATTGATAAATTACCTATTGCTAATGTAACGGAACACAAAACTTTAGGCCTTACAATTGACAACCATTTAACCTGGAATTCTCATGTTTCTTTGATAACTAAGAAAATAGCACAAAAAGTTTATCAGCTTGCAAAAATTCAGCACTTTCTAGACGAAGATGCAAGAAAAGTATTTTACGCGTCTTATATCCACTATTGTTCCACAGTTTGGGATGGTTGCGCCCAATCCAATGTTAAAAGACTAAGTTCTCTTCAAAATCGTGCTTTACGCCTGGTTTCAGATAATAAACATATCGTAAAAAATAATCTCTATAAACATCTAAGACTATTGCCATTTAGCAAACGTTTAATTTTCAACAAGGCCAAATTTATTCATAAAATTTTATCTCAAAATACTCCAAACTACTTTTTCCGATTAATTAAATCAAATCTTATAAATAGCAAGCGACTAAATTTATTACATTTACCTAAACCTAGAATAGATTTATATAAAACAAGTTTAGCGTACTCCGCTGCTCATTTGTGGAACCAACTTCCACTAGACCTGAAAAATTCTAAAAGTCCCTATTCATTCAACCGTAAACTTTTTCAATTCATAATTACAAGCGATTACATGCCACCTTGAATGTAATGTAACCCATATTGCATTAACAATTTATTATCAAACAAGGTGTGTATGATATGTATGTTTGCGCGCGCGCGTGTGCTTGATATGTATGTATGTGTAGGCGTGCTTGTATATATATGACTCTGAGTATGTTGTTTGTCTGCTTGTGTATCTGCGTGTGTGTCTGCGAATGTATGCGTCTGTGTCCTTGTGTATGTGCGAATGTGTGTGCGTTCGCGCGTATGTCCACGTGTATGCTTCAGTGTGAACTGGTTTCTTTTTCTGCATATTTGATGTGACTGTGTGTATATCTTCGTTTGTGTCTGTGTGTGTCCCCGTATGTGTTTGTCTTCATGTTTGCCTGTGTATGTTTATGTGTTTTGTCTGCGGGTGTGTCTATGAGGCTGAATGTATGTATCTCTGTGTGTGGGTGTCTGTATGTCTGTCTGCGTGACTGTATGTGTCAGCATGTGTCTGTCTGTCTGTCTGTGCATGTCTCTGTGTGTTTCTCTGTGTGTGTTGTGTGTGCCCCTTTGTTGTCTGTATGTGTCTGCATGTCAGAGTATATGTCTGTGCGTGCTGAATATATGTGTCTGCGTGTGTATTTCTATATGTTTGTATGTATATGCATTTCTGCGTGTTTGTCTCTGTGGGTGTCAGTATGTGTTTGTCTGCCTGTTTGTCTGTATTTGTGTGTGTGTGTGTGTTTGACTGCGTGTGTCTATGTGGCTGTATGTATGTGTCTGCATGTTTTTCTGCGTATGTGTGGTGTGTGTGTCAGTGTGTGAGCACGAATGTAAATATGTGTGCTGTGTGTTTCCCTGTGTGTGTTTATGTGTAAGTTTCTGTGTGTGTGTCTGTATTTTTGTCTGAGTGTTTGTGTCTCTGTGGGAGTGTCCGTGTGTGCATGTGTGTGTCTCCATGCATGACTGGATTTATGACTGTATGTGTGTATGCCTGTATTACGTATGTATGTATTAATGTATGTATGTATGCCTGTATGTTTGTGTGTACGTATGCCTGTGTGTATGTGTGTATGCATGTTTGTTTATATGTATCTGTGTATGTATGTATGTAATGTATGCATGCATGTTTGTGTGTGTAAGTGAGTGGGTGAGCGTGTGTATGCGGGTGTATGTATGCACGCGCGGGTTTTTGCATGCACTTTACAACTCATGCTTTTGTGTTCTTTTATAATATTCATAATATGCATAACATCATATGATCATAACATGCTTTATTAGTAAAATACAACTGCTGTGCGAAAGATGGTTGACTGGAAGGGCCGAATGTAAGACGGGCCTGCGTGCCCAATTTGTGACCCTTTGAAAATAAAGTTTGTTCGTTCGTTCGTTCGTTCGTTCGTTATCCTACTGTTGTAGCCAGTACATTAGCGCTCCACTGGTCTTAAGAAATGTCATCAGCACCTGGCAATGACAAGAGCAATATGGCAAGTGTGCCCAGTCAGGGGGCTTACTACACAAAATGTCCTGCTATTGACTAGTCCTTACTGGGAACACAACCATATCACACCAGATGACTGACAGTGAGAGCCTGCTTAGAAAGTGTGAAGAACATGGAAGAGCAGCACCTAGGGGACAGCAAGAGGCACAGCTTTTACATAGAATAGCCAAATTCTACAGAAATACACAATAGGTATTCAAGAAGCATCATCACCAGGAAAATTCACATTTATAACCGATAGCTTTTATAAAGCGGTTGAATGGAATCAAATTAATTTTTTCAAGTAAGAAAATCACCTTCAGCATAGTGCTGTTAATTGGAAAGGTATAAAACTGAACGAAAAGTATATCAGTGAGCTTCACAATATAAAAAACACATACAGAATGTGAACGTTGCAGCTATAGAGCCCTTGTCAACTCATACATATAGCAAACAAAACAACACAAATACACAAAATCACTTAACTCACATATCCAGATGCAACCAAGTGGATGTCTTGCCAGTGCAATCAAATGCTTGTTTCCATGCTTATTATTTGGAAGTGGCAGATTTTTTCCCTTAAGTGTCACTACAGCTTTCAGCCCTCTTTCTACTTATTGTTTTTTTTTTCTCTCATCCTCCTTCTCCGTCGGCTCTGTGGCTAAGTGATGCGAACGCTTCCTAAGGCCGGGATGCCAGGTTCGATCCCAGCTGAGGGCCATGCGCCTTGCGTTGGTTTCGAAAGTGGTATCAAGAAAGCCCACCGTCCAGAAAGCAATGGCAAACTACTGGACGTAAATTTGCCTAGAAAAACCACACAACAGCCAGGGGCTGTTGGGGTTGGTTCTGCAACGTCCTGAAAAGGATACGCAACTAATCTTCTAACCTCTTCCTCCTCTTTCTTCTTCTCTCTTCTTCTCTCTTATCTTTCATTCCTTCCTCCTTATTTCTTCTTTATGGTCCTCAGCTTCCTCCTCTTCCTTGTTCATACTGCCGTCTGCTTCTTGTGAAAGTAAACTCGAGCACATCCACAATTCTTTGTGGACATCCTGGTTTTATTAATCCAGCCTATATCTTGGCTTACAAATAAAACACATTTTCCATCCCTGATAAGAACTAATTTATGTACAAAATATAACTGTTTTAGTTTTATTTTGGACTGGACCAGTGTCCTGCAAACTGTCGGTAGATTAAGCATGAATACTCAAAATATATGTATGTTGATGTCTTCATGTAACATGACTTTCTTCAACAGCTACCATATATTTATTTAATCATTTGTTTGTTTAATGTTTCACACCAATAAATTAGGTGGAAGCAAGACTCCCGAGATCTGAGAAGTTGAGAGGGATGGTCAGAAATGGTATACCTCACTCACTGAGAAGTCAGATGTGGCTGCGACTCTCAGGAGCTTTGGATAAGAAGAACAAATCAGATCTGTCATACAAAGATGTTGTTAAAGCTAGCAGTAGTGACCATTTGATGACATCAAAACAGATTGAAAAGGTATAATTATACTGTTTTGGGATAATGTCAGTGCATATTAGGTTTATGACACTATACAAAACAGCCTGTTTGCTTGGGTGTCATAGGTTTCAACCCCCTGGATTTCTATGACAATTGACCAAAACTTTAAAAAAAATTCTTCTACTTCTTTTCTCTAGTTTGTTAGGGTAGAGTTGTCTTTTCAGCTTCTATCAATTCCCTTCTGCTTGTGTTTTATGTCTACCTGTATTTCTACATCTTGTAGGTTCGTTTAATGCCCTTCTAGTTATAGTGTTCTTGGGTTTCCTCAGTAGGTGTCCTATCCAATGCCATCGTCTTTTCCTCACATTTTACTTCGTTGGAATGTGTTTAGTTCTCTCCCATAGCTCAACATTAGTGATTTTATCATACCATATAATTGCCTCCGCTCTGCACAGGCACCCGTTAATTAAACAGATCACCATCTTAGCACTTTATTATGTGTCATTTTGATTCCCTTTTACATATAAGTATATCCTACAACTGGGTTGTATTTCTATAGAAGATGGTTTAGAAAAAGGCCATTGTTGTAGTGTTTGGAGAGTTGTACGAGAGTCACACTTTGGAAGATATTGCAGCTTCATCACATAATATTCCTAAAGACAGCAGGGCATCCACAGCAGCAAGCCACCATCTTGCAGACGACACATTGTAACAACATATCTTCACAAGACCGGTGTTGATGTATATAACAGTGTTATATTTTGTGCCATCTTGTTCAGTGTTTCCCATCTGGTGTCTATAAAATAAATTTAAAGGGCTCTAGAATTTCATTACCCCCCCCCCCCCCCCCCCCCCCCCCCCCCCCCCCCCCTCCATCAAAACCTCAAAAGCTTTAATAACATGTAATCCTTTTTGCTATTCTAATTTATATAAATTATAAAGTTCATTGGTATGAATGTTAAAATTATGGGGTCATTGTCAGACCTTCAGAAATAAAACAGGTCTTAGCAAATTTGGAACCACTGGTCAAGGTTATTACTACTTTTTAGTTTATTCATTATTCTTTAACCAGATTCACATTGTTATTTTATAATATAATGCTTAAGCAAGTGGCTACATGGACTTCATTTTCAATTCCCCTGTCTAGGATCTTCTTCGCACCATGCCAAGCAATGCTTGCTTCTGTAATATCAACAGCACAGGGATCCCACGCTTGAGAAGGATCCTGAGAGGGTTGGCTTGGCTCTACCCAGACATAGGCTACTGCCAAGGCACAGGGGTCGTAAGTTGTTCACATTTGTTATTGTTAGCGCCTTTCCTTTTTCTAGATAATAGCGTTATTCTGTGCTACAGGGAGGCATAGGAATCACAACCCATGGTGATGATGAGTTTGGCTAGCTAGTTAACTCCAAGGATAAAGTTACCCCTCTCCATAGTATAAAGCATGGGCAGTACTGCTGTAGAGACCATGTGTTGCCTATGCAACATGATCCCTCTCTTGCTTGCCTTGTCTAGTCCAGAGGAAAGTTAGCACCAGTACGTTCGGAACAAAGTATACTGCGGAAGCAGCTGGATCAGAAAAGTAATGCTCTGTCCACCTGTCAGGGCTTCCCTTCTAAACCAGCTGCTGAGCATGATTAAGGGCTTGGTCAACCCTTCCATAACATCGAGTTTTCAGATTGAATTTCCTTTTCCTAGGATAAGGCTTTAATGTTCCAGGTTCGTTGTCTGTTTAAATCCGTCCCAAATTGAGGCTTACATATCTTTTTCGTGACGAGATACAATTTTACAAAGGTGGGGGTGTTGGCCCAATGCTTCAACCCCCAACCTGGAGGACCAGGGTGTCTCTCTTTGTCTATCACTGTTCTCTACTCTGCAAACACTTGGTGTCACCAACGGGAAAGAGAAGGCCAACCAGAGAGATTAATAGAGGCGGGTGATATCTGCAGCAATGAACCTCAAGGGCTCAGAATGCTGAAGAAGAAGACGAAGGATAAGGCTAGTAAATTTTCCCAGTGTGTTCTTCTGCCCCAAACCATTGACACAGTGTAGGCTGTAGGGTTTAGTATACGCTGCCCAACATTGTCTTTAACAGAGGACATGTAGTGCTGACTACTGTTATACAATATCTGTCATATCTCACCAAGAACAATTGTTCACATTTAGAGCAAAAACAACTTTAGGTCATTTTCATTATTCTCTGCTTTGTCTAATAGTGTAGGCATTGGCATTCATGTCTCAACAGATCTTAATCCCTGATGTTATTTGATCAGTTATGGATATTCCTCCATGCCAATATCTCAGACCAGATATTAACATTTTACTTTGTTTTCCTCCGCTTCTTGTATTGCTAATCTTCAAAGTTGTCACACTGTTCTCTTTTATCACATCATCTTTCATTCAGCTGCTTATAAAATACTTTCATTAGCTTTATTCAGACAATCACTGTAAGGTGCAGAGTGGCAATCATTGCTTCGGAGGTCTGGGATCCTTAGCCTTCTTTGGATATTTTCTGCAGGGCATGCATGTTTGTTAGGAAATAGATTGGCTGGTTCAGCAACACTTAGTGGTCAATGGATGCTTGACTAGCTAGATGTGGTCAGTCCCTTTTGGAAGCAAGTGAACACTGGAAGCACAAATAGATCACCATAGTCTGCAGAAAAGAGTGCCGCAGGAAGTGACCAGGGGATCTGGTTGACACTTGACACTCAGATGAAAGGCAAGACTGAAATATAATCAGACCACTGCTGCTACCATTGTAAATAGATCTTTGCGCTATCTGCTAATGATGGAGACAGTGCGTTTATGGGAATGTCCAGAGTGTTAATTTGTCTCAGAAAGCAAGTCACTGCCTGCAAGCTCTTTTTATTTATTAGTTCACATCCAAAAATTAACTTCCATACAACAAACATGATCAGTATAACTTTGCATTACTTTCTAACATTCAATAAAGTAATATGAAAAAAGTCAAGGACCCTTTTAATTATGTCACTGGCCCATTCGGCAAATGATGCTAGATTCATATTGTTATAAACCAATCAACACTCAGTGGATGCTGTGGTCGGCATTACTGTGGCCACCTTTACTTTCCAGGACATTACCTGGTACCCATTTTAGGCTGGATTTACCTCGAAGCCATGGTCAGTTTACAACAACAACAAAAGTCTGGCATAATATCTATTCGAACCCAAATTCTTTAGGTGAACATCTAGCCAGTACCCGACCACATGTGCCTGAACCAACTGTTAGTAAAGTAAAAGACCCTTCTCCAGGCCTTCAGGTGTTAATGGCATATAGGGCTAGACCTATATTTTATAGACCAATCTGGGCATGGTGGGTGATGTGGTCAGCATCACGCCAGCTGCCTTTACTTCCCTGGACAGCATCTGGTACCCACTCAAGGCTGGGTCAACCTGGGAATCAAGGTCAGTTTACACAGACAAAATCTAGCTCTATCAGGACCTGAACCCACGACTTTCTGATCCGCAGGTGAGCCTCTAGCCATTACACCACGGCGGTTCCTCAGAACCAACTGTGCTGTGGAATAATTGTTATATTTCTTTGCTGTTATTGAACCTTAGGGCTTTTGCTGATTTATTCCCTGTCTGATTTCTGCAGATTGCTGCTTCGTTATTGCTTTTCATGGAAGAAGAAGACACTTTCTGGATGATGTGTGCGATTATTGAAGATTTGCTTCCAGCTTCCTACTACTCCAGCACACTCATTGGAATACAGGTTAGGTTTCCAACAGAGACCGTCTGTCATCATCTTCTCATCGCTGTCTTGTACTGTAATTCTTGCACCACAGCCGCTTTTTAAGTTTTTATTGTCAGTTCCCCCCCCCCCCCCCCCCACCCCCCCCCCCCCCCCCCCCCCCCCCCCCCCCCACAAAATTGACACTGTCTTCCTAGCTTGCATTCTGGGAGTCTAGTTTTGGGAAGAAAAAAAAGGGGGGAGGGGGGCACTGTACCTTAAAAAGCATGTCATAAAAGGCAACTGTGTCTGGCTTTATTCAAATCAAATGTTTTGAGCCGAAAAGTGCTGGTCTCATAGTCTAGCTATAAACCACAACTCGGTGCGCCAACACATCTTTCAAGGGTGGACACAATAGAAGACAAAGTGCATTTATGGCCATCTCTTATCTATCACTTGCACTTCTCTGTAGAATGGTTCAGGAGGGGTGAATGTGTACATTCACTAAATGTTTCTGGTAACTGGTGCAAAACTAACTAGTACCAGGTCCAGTTAGCATTCACTGCCTTCACAACATCACAGCCTTCACAACATCACAGCCTTCACAACACCACAGCCTTCACAACACCACAGCCTTTACAACATCACAGCCTTCACAACATCGCAGCCTTCACAACATCATAGCCTTCACAACATCACAGCCTTCACAACATCACAGCCTTTACAACATCACAGCCTTTACAACATCACAGCCTTTACAACATCACAGCCTTCACAACATCACAGCCTTTACAACACCACAGCCTTCACAACACCACAGCCTTTACAACATCACAGCCTTCACAACATCGCAGCCTTCACAACATCATAGCCTTCACAACATCACAGCCTTCTCAATGCCACAGCCTTCACAATGCCACAGCCTTCACAACATCACAGCCTTCACAACATCACAGCCTTCACAACATCACAGCCTTCACAACATCACAGCCTTCACAACATCACAGCCTTCACAACATCACAGCCTTTACAACATCACAGCCTTTACAACATCACAGCCTTTACAACATCACAGCCTTTACAACATCACAGCCTTTACAACATCACAGCCTTTACAACATCACAGATTTCACAACATCACAGCCTTTACAACATCACAGCCTTTACAACATCACAGCCTTTACAACATCACAGATTTCACAACATCACAGATTTCACAACATCACAGCCTTCACAACATCACGGCCTTCACAACATCACAGATTTCACCTTCTGCTGGGAGTGGCTGTGAGGTTGATTTTTTATTATAGTCGTATTTTTGGATTGGATGGATATAGAAGACTTTGTTACAACATTTGACGAGATGCCTAGTTTATCATCTGTGTGTGTGTGCATGTATGAGTGTGGTCGTCGTGCAGAATGATGTTGACAATGTGAAGATACGTGAACAGTCATGTCTTGAAGCCTGCGGTAGACATTTCCAAGCCCTGTTATAATGAATATTTCATTGGTACTTCTAGCTTCCCCAAAGCAGCGTTACTCCATTGCAGTGTGACTGTTGTAACTAATTTAATTACCTTTCTTTAGCATATTTTGTGATGACATCATGTATTTGGATTTTTCAGATTTGTTCTGCATAGATATTGTAGTGAGACTTTGCAAACACTAGAACTTTCTATAATGTATTGTTGCATGTTGATTTGGCTACATTTTCGGCATGCTTGTTTCTCAGGCTGACCAGCGGGTGCTGCGACAGTTAGTGATCAGCTATCTCCCCGACATAGATCTGGTGCTGAAAGAGCATGACATAGGTGAAGATTTCTTTTTAAAATATATATCTTTTGAATGCTCATATCTTTGCACTAATGAAGCACATTCTCAGTACATCATGGCAAGACTTTGTTGCCAATGAATGTGTGCTCAGAAAAGCAGGAATGCCAACAGTGTATTTTCTACTGAAGCAAAGATACCTGTACAGGTTGGGACTTGTCTCTCGCATGGCAGATGGTACATTTCAAAGGATCTCCTGAATGGTGAACTGGTAAAGGGGAAAAAAATCTGTTGGAAGACTAGGGCTATGCTATAAGGACATGTGCAAACATGACCTGAAAGATACCAACATTTTCATGGACATTTGGGAGAGATCAGTTGCAAACCAACTCCTAATGAGGCAGGCAGTGAAAAACTAACTGTTGCAGTTTGCAACTAGCAAACACTATCCTGTCAAGCCATTAAACATCACATAAGGCTTGCTGTCTAGTCTTTTGATATTTGGATGGAATTCAGAATCTTTGACCTTTCTCGACAGCATTCATCTCATGGTTTCTCTTGGATGTCTTCATTGCCTTAGTCTGTTTGTTTCCCATTTCATTGTTTGTTTAGTGATTCTCTGTTCATTTCTACTTATGATGTGCCTAGTATATTATGATTTTCTTTATTTATTTTATAACCTGAAATTTGCTACCCATTCTTATGAGGCTGAAACAGCTTCATAAAGGCTCGTTTTTGCACATAATTCTGTAGCCCAGCTGCTGATTTGAGTGCATGGCGCGACACTGTCAGCTGCAGATTTAATTTGGAATACTATTTGACTGTGCCTAGTGGGGTTTGTATCATGAACTCCAGAATCAGAATATGGCAAGTGAGCTGTTGCCAGAGAACTGGTGGTGCCCTTATGCAAGAAATGCATGTGCGACTACCGATATTTTGTAACTGCTGCTTCCATCGATAATGAACTGCATTTTTAGTGCCAGACTATTTGTGTTGGTACTCCTGACAGCTGCCTTATGCATTTAGTGCATGTATACTGTTGGCTTTGCTGAAACTGCAGTCCGTATCAGTTTTTTTTGTGTTTTTTGTTTTGTTTTGTACAAGGGGCAAGGATGGACATTCTGTGTGGTTTTCATTGGCATAGGAATGGGGATCTATTAGATAACCAATTTGCTGTGAAGTTGGAATCGCTATTACCTGTTTACCTAACAGGCTGTGCCCTAGAGACCATGTCATCACAGTTCCTAGTTAATGAGTTGAAGCAGCATAATGGTTGACATCGGTTGAGTTGGGCAGCTAACTCTACACTTCACAAGACATGTCCTGGTACCCTTTTAGGCTGAGCTGATCTGTGTGAAAATTTGAACCTAATACCCTCAGGCAGTCAGGCTCACTCAAAAGTCAAATTTAATATTTGGTTCCCTCTCCACAAAGAGGGCTGGCTACAGTGCACCAGCTGCTGTCATCTGAAAAATTATGTGGTGAGGCACCAATCTTTTCCATGGTGGGACTCATGTATTGCTCTCTGAAAACCATGAGAGCAGTTTTCCCCTCATTAAATTGTCCACTGTGGGAGTCGAACCCTAGTGCTTGAGGATCATGAAGTTGTTCAACATCTAATATATGCCACAGAGCTGCAGCGGCTAACTCTAGAGTGCTATACACGTTCTCCTCAACTTACAACCTATGGGACTTAGATCATCCGATCTTATGACCTCAACAATTAAATAAAAAATAGTAAACAAAGGTAGATAAAATGTAGATGCGGTCAAAAATGTTGTGGGGCAGATGCTGTCAAGTATATATTATGTTTTTTTTTTTACATTATGTAAAATAATTATACCTATATAGATTGAATTTTTCTGTTTTATAACCAGTTTGAATAAAAATAGTATTGAAATATATAAATTCAACTTACGACCTGTTAGTCGGAACGGAACTCAGTTGTAAGCAAGGAGATCCTGTGTACTCTATGATATGAATACCTGTGGTCCCCGTGTGAGTTCAGGGGCCCTGTTATAGGGAAAACTAGAATAGACCCATTGCCTACCCCAAAGCATGTGTAAGAGTCGACTAATTGGGAGCTTCCTTCAAAGTCGGAGTGCATCTGCCTGAGAGGCAAGGAACCAACAGTCTGCATACAGATTAGTCAGATCTGTCAAACGGATACACACGCAACACTCAAGTTTTGGAACAGGACTGCAGTCCAGAAGTGGACGAACAACCAGAACTTTCCGCCAGAGTTTACAGCTGGTGAACATGAATAAGAAGAAGAAGAAAATCTGTGGGTAAGAGGAGCTGTAACACCTCACCTCTCCTAACCCATGCATCTGATATTTGATATCTAATGTTTATAATGAATCTTCCTCAGAATTGTCCCTGATCAGCTTACACTGGTTTCTCACCCTGTTTGCCAGTGTAGTACACATGAAAGTCCTGCTGCGACTCTGGGATTTGTTCTACTATGAAGGCTCAGTGGTCATCTTCCAGATAACAATGGGCATGTTGAAGCTGAAGGTGAGCAGATCTGGAATTCTCTCTGTGTGGTCATCATCATCATCAAGTTGTTCAGACCTTTAGGCTTATTTTTTATTGTTTAATTTGCTAATCCTTAAAATGCAGAGGCAAACCTCTATAAAAGTAGATACAAGACACTAAAGTTGCAGTGGCTATGAAAGCACATAAGGCTTGAGAATTGACTAGAAGAAAGAGAGACTTTCAGGCGTGCCATGTTGGGCGTGACATTTAATAAAGGTCTTGCTGAATTTGTTTTTGGTAGTGAATCCTTAAAATCATAAATGATCTTTTGAAAGACATTAACACATGAACAGAACTGTTTACCTACTTCATAAGACGACAACCTGTATACATGATTTAGTCATGTAATGAGCAGAGGAATAATGGGGTATATCATCATTACAGCAAGAATGTTGCATGGGAAGAGAGGCAGAGGAAGAACAAGGGAGAAGATGCTGGACAGTTTCACATCAAGGCATCATGGGAATGTGGGAGAAAATCATTATCATAAATTATGCACAATACATCAGTTGGAAGCTGTTAGGACTGACATGGTTATCAGTGCCACGTTGCATGGACTTGTATGCAGAATTTAATATAAGAATATCAGCTATATGTACATGTTTACTGGCGCCTCCAGACAGCAGAACTCAATACTCCTAGAAGTTCTAATGGAGCAGTGAAGGGCAATACTAGTATTCTTATTGCCCCTCAGCTTCTTGCTTTAGCCTACCTCACCTTCGACTGGTGGATCCTGTAAGGTAACAGTCTAGCTCGGTCGGTCAGTTACTGAGTTGAGTGCAAGGTGTGACACAGCTGGGAATTTTAATGGTGCATGCTTATTGTATGTGCACCCAGAGATGTCTATGTTGTAAACTGAATATTTAGAAAATGACCAGTGGCTAGTTGCCACAGAATTTTGGTAGTGTGCCTTAATCAGTAATGCATGTGCACCTGCTGGTGATGTCATGACTGCTGCTTCCATCAAATATGAATATCAGTTCTATTGACAGAGGGTAGGTGTTGTTACCTCTAGCAGCTGCTTTTTTTTATGCATTTGTAAGCTGTTTGATTTTGTCAGGACCACCTTCTCTTTGACTTTTCACATGGGGCAGCGACGAACATTTTGGGTGGTTTTCAGTGGCACAGGATAATGTTGGAACCCCTAAATAATGGCCAGACATAGAACTCTAAGATTGCCCTAAATATATTACTTACTTAGAGACAAACCTTTTGGCCTAAAGAAATAAAGGTTTAATTAAGCTTCTTGGACCACTGAGTGAGAAATTGATACAAGAGACACTATTGAAGATTACAACAATCATTTTCATTTGAATGAAAGAAGATAAACATTCCTGGATTTAAATTCTTGCAGAAGAAAGATCTGCAAATTTAAACGGCCCAGCATTTATATTGAATGCTCTGATTGAAAAACAAAATGGAATCATAAATTATATCATCATCATCATTCTTTTGTGCCAAAATACACCACATAGGGCTCACAGTTTATTCTTCCACTCCATTCTATTCACTGCAGTTGTTTTAATATCATGGCTGGAATCCAGTCCAGCACCTTTGGTCTCTTTCCTCAGTGTTTGTCTTAAGGTTTCTTTTGGACCTCCTCGTCTCCTCAGTATATTTGTTTCCCATTTAGGTGACAGTAATTGGTGATTGTTTGTTTGCTCTTACTCAGGGTTTGCCCAATATATTGTCTTCTTTGTCCTAGAACTGTTGATACAAGTAGTTGTCCAGACATTTCTTTTGTTTCATCACTATTCTTGAATTCATCCCATTTAATGTTCATTACTTTTCTAATTCACTCGATTTGTAATGCTCTTAACCTTTCTCACACATATTTTGTCTTTCTGCAACTTTTATTAATGCATGCAAAAACTGAAATAACATTGGAATTGAAAATATGCAGCATGGTTTTAAAATTATACACTTTAGAGTTCCATGTTTTATTCAGGCCTTTAGAAGCTGCTGCTGCCTTTTCAATGTATGTTATAATTTATAAATTATATAATTGTTTGTAAATAAATGGACTGAAATAAATGCAGGAACAAGAGCTGCAAAGTTTAGACAACTCAGCACAGATTTTCAATGCTTTGTCTGATGTTCCTGGAGATGTCGAAGATGTGGATGTGCTGATTGAGGTAGGATATGCTCCCAAAGGGGCCCCACTACATCTAGCTTGTCATACATCAGTTTACCATTAAGTGGTGCTGAACCGGTCAGTCTATTTGCATGCTTGTTCCCAACACACCAACATGACCTTGATAAAATATCCAAAGGATGCTTAACTACCCGGGAACTCCGAAGCGATGCTTGCCACTCTGCAAGGAGCATGCCTGTCTTCACCTTTCTCAACATTTTATGCGAGACGGTTACAATTACGACATACGTATCTCGTGTTACCTGGGCCCTTGAGAAAACAAAAATCATCATCACATGCCGTGCCGATAAGCGATATGCTGTTATGTTTATGCCATCTCACACGATTTCCATAATCACGGATACCATCAGTTTTCCTGTCTCACTCATCCATATGACCCAAATATCTATGTATTTATCTCTAAGCATTCCTTTTGCTGCCTGGCCATCAATTTCGCCAGTGTTTCCAGGTTTCTTGAGTCCATTTCTGCCTCATAACATGTTTTTGTAATCCTATAGCGGAGCATCATAATCATCATCATCATGATGTGCCTTGCCAATAATCATAAGCAGTCATGTCTCGTTTTCTCACATGATGACCAGGTTCATAGATCAGGCATAATTTTCTTGTCTCGCCCATCTATATGACCAAGATGTATTTATCTCTTTGCCTTCCCCTTACTGTGTGTTTTTTTTTTTTTATCAGTCTTGCCAACTGTAACTATGTTCTCGAGAGCCTATCCTGCGTATTATTATTTTGTTAGTGTTTAAAAAAAAAATATAACAAACAATTTTTTTTAAAAAGCACTCAAGGAAGATGAGCAGGGAAGACTTCTCATCATGTAGAAAAACTTAGCTACAAAATCCAACTAGTCTTGAACAGCTTTCCAGTGGGTTTAATGTGAATGTGGGACAGTGCTCTATTTGAAGATGAAAGGCCCTAAGATTACAAAAAATCCAGGCTGGTTTTATCAGACATGAATGGATTGCAACACTAAGCAATTTGAGAATGGCTGCCCTAAACTTGATCTTTGTGCCAGGTCATATGGGTGTTCAAGGGAATGAGCGTGCAGACTATCTTGCAGAAACTGTAGTTGTTATGGCTGGTCAAGTTCTGGACAGAAGTGATGTTATCAATACCATGCGCAGCACTTACCTTGACGGCGAGCATGCCAAAGAGCATGACTCCATATCTCTGTCTAGGCTGACGGAAAAAGGGGGTGCAGCCTGGAGCTGCAAGAAATGAACATTTCACTAAGAAAACAGGATGTTTAATTGATCAATGCAGAACAGTCGTCCTACACTTGTAGAGCTTTTGAGGAGGAGATCGGAGCACCTTTGTACCTATGATGTGATGGTAATCCGTATTAATCACCAATCACTACGAAAGGACAGTATTGGTCCCTGGAACCACACAGAGATTTTCTTTTCAAAACCAAGCAACTCAGCATGTATACGTTTTGGCTTCCACTGATGTATACTTTTCTGAACTTCTTTTTGCCCATCCATTTGTTAGTTTTTTTTAAATCTCTCTGCCTCTATTGTTACTTTAACCATTCTGCCACTTATTATTTCCTAGACCAATAATTCTACTTGATGTAACTCATTTTTAGAATAGAATGAATTAGGGTAATGTGTGTTTGGTACTGAATGAGTGAATAAAGATTGGCACACTAAATTTGTTAAAGCATGGCTATAGTATGTGTGCTTTTCACCCGGCACATCTGATTGTAGGCGAGGAAGACCAAGAGAAAAGATGCTAGACAGTTTTACACCATTGCATGGAAGATCATCAGAATTGATTGAAAGTACACGAGACAGAAGGCTGTGGACAGACATGACTACCAACGCCACACAGCGTGGACTATAAGAAGCACCACATACTCATTCATTTAATAATAGAGAAGTCCAGAGAATTTAATGTAAACCTATTCTCATGTTTTGTGGATTATTCAACGGCATTTGACTGTGTACATCAGAAACTTTGGGAAATCATGAGGAATATGGGCTTTTCATCACATGTGGTACACCTCATAACCATGCTCTATCTAGACCAACAAGCAGCGTTAGAATAGATGGCGAAACATCAGAGTGGTTTGACATCAAGCAATTAGTCCGTCAGGGCTGTGTGCTGTCACTCTATTTGTTTAACCTGTACACCGAAAATATAATGAGAAATTTCAGAGATGATATAACCATAGAATAGTATGATGCCCTAAATATAGGTGGTCATGAAATACCAGAAGTCCGATATGCCAACGATACAGTATTGCTATCCACATCACAGACTGGTATAGAAAACTTAATAACCTCCACCCAAAGAAATAGTGAAAATCACAGCTTATATCTTAACATAGCAAAAACAAAGATAATGCATACAGATAAAACTACTATGGAGAGAGAAATATGTGTTAACGAGGAAAGATTGGAGGTTGTGGAAAATTTTGAATATCTTGGGTCATTGATTACCAAAATGGTGACAAGAAATTAAACGACGACTGCTCTTGGTCCTAACTGTTGAATTTGGAGTTCCAGACCAGAACTACTCTAAGAGAGGGAACAATAATAGTGATGCCTCTGTGTCCTCCCCTTCTTTTTAATTCCCTCTCTGTTCCATGTGTTTTTTTGGTCTTCCTTTATTTCATCCAACCCCTCCCCCATGGGTTAATGAATGTTTGTAGACATTCTATTATAACTGTCCTATCCAATGTTATTCTTCACCTGTTGTCCACTGGAATCTGCTTCATACAACATTAGTATTCTGTGATTTAACATTTGCATTAAAATACTGTTAGTAGTTTAGGTCCCCCCTTAGTTATTCTTCATGTTTCCCCCCATACACCAGTACTGATTTGAAAAAAAAAAACCAAAAGGTCCCATCCCCCCTTTTACCTAGGAATTTGGAATGTTTACTTAACTACTTAATGTGGAGATAATTGCTGATTCTGTTGTTTATATTTGTTGAGGTGGCATTTAGAGTCTCAGGATCCTTGACAGATGTTCATGTGGATACACATCGTAGGAAGCATTTAGCTTATTTAATGGCAGACCAAGGGGCGCTAGTCAACCCTGAATCTTCAAGGAACCTTCCAAAACAGGTAACATCAGATTTTTTTTTAAAAAACACTTTTTCATGTTTTTGGTGCTTTGGCGTTCAAACTCATTTGAACTTTATAAGCTAGGTGACATTTCTAAGTTTTTTTTTATGTTCAATATTTGTTGTTAGCATTTTAATTTATTTGAATATTCCAAAACAGATGATATTTGTTATGTATTACTTCATGCTCATATGACACTATTTTTTTAAATCTATACACTCAACCAGCAACTGATTATTTCAGTATGGAGAGAATCCAACAAATTGAAGCCATGCAAGTCAGTTTGGGGTGTATATGATACCATATTGTATGTGGCACATACTTGCGTTGCCATCCATATATGAGAAATACAGGCTTTACAGGCAAAATGTACCTTACAGTAGCAATGGACAGGGAACACTTTCTCTGTAGGGCCTTGGAAGATAGCAAGGGGCGGCCGCTGAAACAAGGTGGCTCTTGTATGGCACAGCAGAAGTCACAATCGGAACTGTTTGTGCTACTGACAAGATAGTGCAAGGTGAAGAATGGGTTACAGTGCCACCCAGCAAAACAGACTTGCACAGAGTGATAGTTACCTTGGAATGAGGGTGCCGGGAATGGATAGCTGGTGAAACAGAGTTAGCGGTGTAAGAACTGATCAGTGAAAATTCACATCCAGGTGACTTAAATATATATATAGATGAGTCTTTAGAGAGAAGTAAGAAGCCTGGGAAGGAAGGTTTTGCAAAGGTGAATGGACACTGCTTGAAAACAGACACATACAACATCTCTACAACCAGTATGAGATTAGAGATGAAGGCAGTAATGGCTGCTTTCTGATTTCTTGAGAGTAACCTAGCCTGTCACATTGTGATTGTAACAGACTCACAGAGCATGTGTTAGAAAGTGGAAACTGGTGTAGATCAAGCTCATATCATGGATTTTCTGATAGGTTGGCTGCTGCTGCTCTGCTGGGTGGTGAGCTACTATATGATAAAGCAGATGTGGTGAAGGCACAGTGGGATCAAATGGACAGTGCAAAGAACAGATAGGGAATCCAAACACTGAAAGACTAATTCAAATGGGGGTGTGTAGAGGTTCTGGAAGATATAACACATTGAAGGGGAAACAGACTTTTAATCAGGTGCATCAGGTACTATCAGCATGGCAACTCTTTGTTGGTTACTGAAGAAGGGAATGAAGCACGTGTAGGAATGTCCCAAGTGGAGTGATGTCAGTTCTTGATTCATTCATTCATTCTTTATGACAGTATGTGCCTCGAAATTACCATTTCTTCTTTAACAGTATCTAATCTTGGGTTGTCTTGATCCTTCCATTTTCTTTTTGCATTTTCAGCATCAAGGGAAGGGTTCTGACTCATGCTTTATCCATAATGATACTTACAGCCTCTGCTACTCCCTCGACCACTTCATTTCATTGCTTGACCTTTTACTTTTATCCTGTTTCATGAAACTGCATTGCCAGTATGCGACTGTCTTATATCTTAGTTTCTTTAAAATATTTCAGCAACTGAACAAGCGTCATCTAAGAAGATCTAAGTCCTTGATATCTGTGCTGTGGGGTGGAGCAGGAGGAGAAGACGATGATTTTGGCAAGGCAAAGAATATTAGACAGACAGAACTGCTGGTAGATCTGAGAGAAGCCATTCTTCAGGTGGCCAGGCACTTTCAGAGTTTGGATCCAAAAAACAGTAAAGTAGTAAGTGCATTTTCTTTCTCCAACCAAAATTTATTTAACCTATGCATGTTTTGCCCCCTATCCCATTATATCCTATGAGTCGGTGGTATGTGTTTTCCATTATATTTTATTTCTGGTGATAGGTGCCATCCATTATATCCTAATTGTGTGTCATGGGAACCAGTATTGACAAGCTGGCAGTTAAGATCTGTTCACAGTCTTCAGCAATACACATTGGTGGCTGCTCAGTAGTCTGTCCTCCTTTACTGTTGTCAGTTCATAGCTTTTTTTCTTTTCTTGTTTGCTTTGAATCTTTTTGTATTCATTTGAACACAGGAGAATAATTTTATAGGTAGTCAGTCTTCTTCTTCTTCTCTCTGTTCACCCGCTGTAAATTCTGTCGGAAAGCTCTGCTAATTCATCCATTTCTGTACTTAAGTCTTGTTCCAGAACTTAGGTTTTGCATGCATATCCATTTTACAGATCTGGCTTATTTGTATGCAGATTGTTGGTCCCTCACCTTTCAGGCAGATGCACTTCGAAGGAATCATCCCAAATCACTTGCCTTTTACAGAATTCTTGTTTAGGAGGTGTGTGGTAATTGGGGGTCGGAGCAGTTACATGACCAGACCAGACAGTTTTTTACTTGGTCTATGCTTGATGTCCCTGATTGTCAAGGCTCCTTTGGGGTATGAGAATGTGGATGTGTGACTGAGATGGGGGTCAGGTGTAGTGAATTCTTAATAATACTTATTGTAGCAGGAATGTTTATTACAGCTTGTCTTTTGCCTAAATAATCTGACTTGAACTGTGTGTGTAGCACATTAATTTTATTTGCAGTGTAAGGAGTGTAAGACTTATGTATAGCTGGGAGTTGAATGGCTGTGCATGATTAGGTGAGTGGGCACTTAAGAAGTAATTCTGTGATGGAAGAATATTTTATTTATGGATTTGTCTGGATTAAATCCAGAAGGAATGAGTTTGAGATAAAGTGATTGACGTTGTTAATTGGAGATTGGGAAAGTGATCACACCTACCTATCTGGGTTACTCATCATCATCATCATGAAGCAGCTCCTTTGCAGGACGTCACTTTCATCACGGTCTGCCTGAAAGAAACTCGGTCTCTCTCCAGCTCTCCCTCCTCATGTACTTTCATACTCAAGGAGTCACTTATATCCTGTGCCCATCTTCGTGTTGGTTGGCCCCTTCCCCTCCTTTCTGGTACCATGCCTTCTGCTATTATTTTTTACAGTTCGTCATGGCGCTTGATATGACCGAAACATTTCAGCTTCCAAGACATGACACTGTTTATTAGCTAATCTTCCTTGATATTCAGATCTTTCAAGGTGTCATTATTTCTCCTCTTCTTATATTTGATATATTATTACATAATACAGTACTCTTGTTTGTTTGATGCCAGGTACTTACAGCAGACTACAGTATGGAGAGCCATGCCAAGGATTTGGAGAACTATGTGAACGTTGCCAGGAATCGTCACAGACGAGCCAAAGCTCTGCTGGACTTTGAGCGACATGATGATGATGAACTAGGATTCAGAAAGAATGACATTATCACCGTAAGTTAGTTGCTGAGTAACCTTTAGGGGCTGCTGTTGCAGTAATTTACTAAGTAACATTTCAGGGATTCTGTTGCAGTAAGTTACTAAGTAACATATTTAGGGGATACTATTGCAGTAAGTTACTAAGTAGCCTTTAGGGCAGTCAGTGGCTGTCAACCTTTCTAATGCCAGGACATTTTATCACAATTTCTCATGTTGTGGTGACCCTCAGCCATAAAATTATTTTCGTTGCTACTTCATAACTTCAGTGAATATGTGTTTTCTTATGGTCTTAGGCGATCTTAGGCGTTTAACCCCCAAAAGGGTCGCGACCCACAGGTTGAGGGGATGCTGTTGCAATAAGTTACTAAGTAACATTTCAGTGATGCTATTGCAGTATTTTACTGACTAACATTTAGGGAATCTGTTACAATAAGGTAGTGACTGAGTAACATTTAGAGAATCTGTTACAATAAGGTACTGATTAACATTTATGGAATCTGTTACAATAAGGTACTGACTGAGTAACATTTAGGAAATCTGTTACAATAAGGTACTGTACTGATTGAGTAACATTTAGGGAGTCTGTTACAATAAGGTACTGATTGAGTATCATTTAGGGAATCTGTTACAATAAAGTACTGATTGAGTAACATTTAGGAAGTCTGTTACAATAAGGTACTGACTGAGTAACATTTAGGGAATCTGTTACAATAAGGTACTGACTTAATACAATTTAGGGAATCTGTTACAATAAGGTACTGACTGAGTATCATTTAGGAAATCTGTTACCATAAGGTACTGACTGAGAAAAATTTAGGGAATCTGTTTCAATAAGGTACTGACTAACATTTAGGAAATCTGTTACAAAAAGGTACTGATTGAGTGACATTTAGGAAATCTGTTACAGTAAGGTACTGATTGAGTGTTATTTAGGGAATCTGTTACTATGAGGTACTGACTGAGTAACATTTAGGGAATCTGTTACAATAAGGTAGTGATTGAGTCACATTTAGAGGATGCTACTGCAGTAAGTTACTTGATTTAAAAAAAAGTCATTGTCTGATTGTTGCTACATCCTAACAGATTATCTCCCAGAAAGATGAGCACTGTTGGATCGGAGAACTAAATGGCTTGAGAGGGTGGTTCCCTGCCAAGTTTGTGGAAGTTTTGGATGAGAGAAGTAAACACTACTCCTCAGCTGGCGATGACTCCGTAACAGAGGCCATAACGGACCTGGTTCGGGGCACGTAAGTTTGTGTTGAGGATCTGGTTAATAATACTTCATTATTGTGTCCTTAGGCTTTCATTGTGCAGCTCTTTGATGGCTGTTTGAGGCTTCATGCATTGGAGTTATCGTTGTATATGATTTACAGTCTTCATGTCTGTGGGTCAGTTACATGCAGTTGTGGTTGTCTTCATCTTCTCTGTTTATTAGCAAGGCTAAAATTCAGCCCTGGCTGGGTCACAAGCAGTGCAGGTTGCTGGCTGTTCCCTACAGCTTGTCTTGCAGTGTAGCTCCTTTAGGTCAGATCCTCAGTCCCTGCAGACAGTAGATGTAGGAAGTCCTGTGCTGCATGTCACTTAGGTGGCATATTTTGTAATGACACTTATTCTCTGTACTATATACAAATGCATATATGCACAGACTCTTCACAAAAGCATTTATATATACACACTCATACACACCCATACATACACTCACACTTATAAGATACCCATCATTCACTCTTATATACACACATAGACATGGTCTTACAAACACTCATTTATGCCCTTCTATGCATACAACACGTGTGCATACATAGAGAGATGGAGAAAGAGAGAGAGATCCCGGTAATTGATGTCTGTTGTCTATATTGCAACTCATCTAGATGTGATTTCTCTAACAGAGATTTGTAATGTTATTGCATATTTTCAATGGATAATTTTTCAACAGTTGCAGAATACTGACCGCTAATCATAACAGCTGCAGAATACTGACCGCTAATCATGTCCTTTTTTTGTGTGTGTTACAGGCTGTGTCCCGCTCTCAAAGCAATATTTGAACATGGCTTGAAAAAGTCAACCATTCTTGGCGGACACTGCCATCCATGGCTGTTCATTGAGGAGGTAAGATCTGTATACTTGTTAGTCTCTCTGTAATGGACTCATGCATTGTGAGGTATCCCATATCTATAGTACAGGGATAGGAAACCTTTAATTCTGCCAAGGGTCTTTTGGATATTTATTAATCTTTTGTGGCCTTTGCAGAATTATTAACATAGAACTTTGTCAAACATTAAAAAGGGTTATTTTGTTAGGGCCAGACCAGATGATTTAATAAGACCCCGTTTCCTTCCCCCCCCCCCCCACACACACACACACACACACCCCCACCCTTGTATATGGGATTGCTGTATGGTGGTACCTGCCATTTGATTAAATGTAATTTTGGCTCTCCTGTCAACTACGGCCGGTAGACAACAGTAGACGGCCGGTCAGTCGGAGTTCTGTCCCTTGGCTACAGTGCAATTACAGAGTGGAAAAGAAGGAAACGAAACAATTGACACAATTACTGTGTGCTGGCGATAGACAGCGTGCACTGCCCTGCTATAATCATATGGTTACGGTTTGGGTTAGGGTTAAGAGTTTGGGTTAGGGTTAGGGGTAGCGTTGCGGTTAGTGTCACCGCATCTCGTCTTCGCAGAAACTCAACGTAGCAACCCAAACCCTAACCCTAAACCCTAACCGTATGATGACAGTAGGGCACTGCACGCTGTCTATCACCAACACACAGTAATTATGTCACTTGTTTTCTTCCCTCTAATCCGCTCCGTAATGTGTCGCAAGAAGCGGTAATTGAACGCGGTCGCTACTTTGAGTCGCAGCGCGGGTTCTGCCAGGCATTTCGACCTCACTTTGTTTTTTGATTCATGCCTTCTCCAGTCCGTAATTGCACTGCAGCCAGGGGACAGAACTCCGACTAACCGGCCGTCAACTGTTGTCTACCGGCCGTAGTTTACAGGAGAGCCGTAATTTTACCATATCCTCTAATTTTCTTCGCTGGTAGCTTAAATCTTTTTTTACTTGAATGAAAATTCTTTCGTTAGCTTTTCTAATTCCGTACCTCATTAGAGTTATTATGGAATGCTGTTACGTTAGAGGACTGAGCAAGTGTGGGAAAGTACACTGTGCAGTGATCATCAGTTGCATTCACTTCTTGTTATCCCAACCTTTATCCTGTAGTGGAGCATAGGCTGTCATCCAGGTCGTGCCAATTGTCCTATCTTTTGCCATTGCATGTAGCTCACTCTGTGTCTGCCCGTCTTTACTTCACTCTCTAATTGACTTTTATGTCTTTTGTGTGTTTGTGGGTCTTCCTTTATTCATTTGAACTTGCAAATTCCCGTGCAACATTCTAGCCCTGTTCTAGTTATATTGTTTCTCAGGTTTTCTTTGAATCCTATCCAACACCAGCATCTTTTCTTCACATATTGATTCACTGTAATTTGTTTAGTTCTGTCTCAGAGCTTTACGTTAGTGATTTTTGTCATAACATAACATGTCTTATTATAGTTACTGTGATAATAAGTAAGGCAAACAAAAAAGTTTTGTTGGTTTCAGGCTGCCACCAGAGAGGTTGAGAAAGACTTCCAGAGTGTTTATTCCAGGCTGGTTCTGTGTAAAACATACAGACTGGACGAAGACGGGAAAGTGCTTACTCCAGAGGAAGTTTTGTACAGGGTCAGTTGTAGCCATGTTTGCACATCAGCATCATTACTTTCATATTAATATTTGTGTTTTATTTAAATTCAAATGTAAAATTTGTCTTACTATACAGCATTAATAATTCTGAAAATATAGTTCTATATCATGTTTATCATTTCCTTAGTCTTTACCCTTTGGTTCTTTTAAAAAAAAAAAAAAGTATGTTTCACAATGAACTGCTTAAAGTTAAAAAAAAAAAAAAAGTAGAGGACCCTTTTCCACACCTTTAGGCATATAGGGCTAGACCTATATTTGTATGGACCAATCGGCACAAGATGGGTGATGTGGTCAGCATCACGCGGACCGCCTCTACTTCCTGGGACTGCACCCAGTACCCACTCAAGGTTGGGTTGACCTGGGAGCCAAGGTCATATTTGAATAAAGTCTGGCTCCTCCTGGGAGTGAACCCACGGCCTTCCAATCTGCGGCGAGCATCTAGCCGCTACGCCATGGGGACTCCCAAATTAACTGCTGTCCTGCCAATATATTTTAATTAGAAAATCAAAGCCTGGTGGAATGTTTATAGTAAGTAAGTCACTTATGAGGTACTTGCTCTCCCATCAGTAAAGTGAAGTAAACGACCCTTTTTACCCCAGTAGCATATCAGGCATATGATACTAGGCTCATATTTTCATAGACCAACAGGCACTTTGCTTCCTAGAAATTTGCCAGGTAGCCATTTTGGGCTCGGTGGACCTAGAGGCCAAGATCAGTTTTTTTTTTTTTTTTTTTTATTGAAGAAGAAGAACAATTGCAGTTCCCAGAACATTCAGCAAATTAATCAGTACTAATTTCTGAAGGGACATTGACATCAGGTGTAGTAAAGCAAACTTAGCTATTGGGGCAGCTAGTATTCTCCCCCCCCCCCCCTTCCCTTTTTATTTTGCAGCACACACACACACACACACACACACAAAAACCGTTGCACACAAAACATATTCATCCTCATTCTGTGCTACCACAGTCAGACATGGTCACTCACAACAAATCATAAAAGAAAATTACACAAAACATATTCATCCTCACTCTGTGCTACCACAGTCAGACATGGTCACTCACAACAAATCATAGAAGAAAATTACACAAAACATATTCATCCTCACTCTGTGCTACCACAGTCAGACATGGTCACTCACAATAAATCATAAAAGAAAATTAGTAACCATGGAAATGAGGTGTCCGAGAAGAGTTGCAGGAGTGACCAGATGAGATCAAATCAGGAATGAGGTCTTCAGAGAAAAACTTGGCACAGAGCCAATTCTTTGTTACATACAAAGACAGCAAATCAAATGGTTTGCCCACTTAATGAAAATGCCTTGTGACGCCATACCATACAAGGCATACAACAAAAGAGGAGAAGAACGTAGAGGCCAAGGTAGACCAAGAACAAGATAAAATGCTAACATGAGGGAAACTCTACAGCAGTACTGTGTGTCTATGGTTGAGGCGGTCAGAAGAGCAGGAAGCAGAATATCTCCCCCGACACCCAGAGCGTTAAAAGAAGGAGAGAAGAAGAAGAAGAAGAAGAATTGCTTCAAGACGGGTCAACCCTGGAGTCACAATGATTAGAAAAAGGTAATATCTTGCCATTTTTGAAGACTGCACTCAGATCGCTGCCTCAACAAGCAGGTTTGCTAACCACTATTCCACTGTTACTCACTTAGAAATTATAATGCATATCAGTGATGATTTTTATTTTTAAATGTCACCCATTTGAGAAGTGATACTAATCAAAATACATAATCTAATTCTAGCTTAGCAGAGATGTATATAAAAAGAGTATGTGTATGTAGAAGTGAAAAAGTGCGAGTGTTTGGGTGTATGTATGTTGGTGTGTATGTATGTGGGTGTGTAGGTTTGTGTGAGCAACTATGAACATGTCTGTTTATTTGAATGTATGCATTTGACATCCATCCTTTTTATTTTTATTTTTTTATAATTTTTTTGAACCCTACACTAATATGTATTTTACTATGTGAACATGCTTTGTAGGAAGAAAAAAAAAATACAATTGATGTGTGAAAGTTGAGTGTCTGGAAGGGCTGAATGTAAGACAGGCCTGCATGCCCACAATTTTACCCCTCGTAATATAAAAGTTTGTTTGCTTGTCTATATATACCTTATGGGTGTTGTACCATAGTGGCTATCACAGATTTTTGGGATACCATCATTTACTTATGGCGACAGTTAAGATACATGGGGTATGTTGACGTTTTTACAGGCTGTTCAAGCAGTCAACATAAGTCATGATGCTTGCCATGCTCAGATGGATGTGAAACTGAGATCTCTTATCTGCTGTGGTCTGAAGTAAGTATTTCTTGTAAGTTTTTTGTTTCACTGACACAGCATCCTTTTAGTAGTGTTATGCCAAACAAATTTTGCTAAGACACTCAGGACCACATCTTAAGCCCACCATATTTTTTGTGTACCGCTATTCTTCTTCAGCATTCAGATCCCTTAACCCTACCAGACCTGAGGCCCTGAACCTAACTGCCCCCTATACCTCAGCTCCTGGGCATTAACGCACAAAAAACCAGCATGATATACAAAAATATAAGTTACCTGCAAACAAGTGGTTAGAATAAGATGAAACTTGGAGACATTATAGAAAATAGGTTTACCTTTTATCTAGCGCCAATATTCCACCTTGTTTCACAAAGTGAACACCAGATGTTACTGTTTGAGGGACACACCCATTCTCCTACTATTGTTCTTTTTCTAGATTTATTATTTTCAAGATTTTCTTCATCATTCAAGATCTCACTGACTGTGTCACTTCAACTGGGAACATATTCTTCATGAAATTATGACACCGCAGAGTCTGAATCAACCAAATTATCGATCACCTGTTGGACTGTGAAAAGCCTAGATCTAGTTCACTTTCCTGTCAAAGTGCTTGGTTCATTAGCGCTCGTTTCATTGTGAATTTTCAGAATTTTTTCACGTTTAACCACACAAAGTAAATTTAAACACACATGAGTAGCCATTTACAGTGACTAACCAAGTGGTTTGATCACGATTAGTTGGTTTTTTTTAGTTTGTGATGCGTTTTATCACTTAGTACACAAATTCCCAAAAAATCAGGACAACGGTATAGTGGCAAGTTAAAAAATTACCGCAGTAGCTGGACATTAGTTCATTGCTGCACATATCACCCACCTTCTTTGAACTCTATGTGCAGCCCTCACTTTCCATTTGGTGACTGCAAGTGTTTGTTGGTCTGCCTTTATATTATCTCTCCACAATCTTCTTGATCTGCCTCGTGGTCTGCAATCATTCAATTCCCTTGTGTTGACATTTTTTTATTTGTCTGTTGTTTGACATTCTTTCAATATGCCTCAGTCATTTCAGTCTGTTAACCCTCATGTCGCAAGTAATTATTGGTGATTAAAACAGATTGCAAATTTTGTTATCGCTTCTCACTCTGCATTCTTTGCTGTTTGCATCAGTCAAGGACCCGAGGATTTATCATGTTTGTAAAAAGGCTTCATTACTTGTAGTTGTATTCCAGGCTTCACCATATGGGGCACTTTCTCTTATTATTGTTGCATGTATTATGATCTTGGTGGTACAAGTTAGAGCATTTGATTTGAGCAGATGTAAGCTATCAAATATCTTATTTCCAGACTGTGTTCTAGACTGTATTTCTTCTCTCAGTATGTTGAAGCAGTTGAAATTGGATGTACACTGTGCATCCAGTAAACTAGCATTGATGGACTTGTGTGTGTTCTGTTTGCTCTGATAGTGAACAGGTTCTTCACCTCTGGTTGGAGACCCTCTGCTCCTGCATGGACATCATTGAGAAGTGGTACCACCCCTGGTCCTTCATGAGAAGTCCAGGCTGGGTTCAGATTAAGTGTGAGCTTCGGTAAGTAAAATTGTACATTTCGTGGCTTTTAACAATTCATTTTTTTTCAGCCCTATAATTTGGACCAAAAATTTCACGAAGGCATAATTTTATTGCTACTTTGATTATAAGTTTCATAGTTGATAATTTTTTCAGTTGTAAATGATATGTTCAGATGTTTGGGGGAGAGGGGGGGGGGTGCATAAAAGAGAAGGAGAAAGGGGGAGAGAGCGAACAACGGTATGGAGCAGTGTGCATAATTTTTTTCAGTACCATAAAAATAATCTATTGATATGGTGGAGAGAGTAAGAGTCCTTGAGCATGCATGTGTTTGTGTGTGTGTGTGCATGAGGCAGAGAGAGAAAGAAGAGAGGGAGCATAGGAACATACCTGTGTGTGAATATGCATAAGTGTGCTGCTTTTTTTTTTTTTACCTTAACATACAAAGTAAATGTAATTGGAGGGCAAATACTAGCTCAGTGATGTAATTGTAAGGGATTGTGTTTTTCTAAAGGATCATCTATATTACACCGATCTTGCTTTGGTGAGCTGTTCAAATCTGCCTTATAGCTTACATTAAAAAAAATACAAATAAAACTGACCTAGCTTTCCAGATCAAATGTTGCAGGAAGAAGCAGTCTGGCAGGATACTGACCACATCATCCATCTAGTACCAGTTGGGTATTAAATATGGAGCTGACACCATATACCTAATAACACCTGAAAGTGTATAAAAGTGTCCTTTGCTTGCCTCAACAAGCCTCCTGTCTCCACCCATATATAACATTGAGGCTGCTAAATACTGTGCATGAATCCCATACCACCAGCTGAATTTGTCCAGTCAGTACTGCTGAATGGATCTAAAACATGGCGAACAGTTAAAATAGTTACTATAAGTGAGAAGCAACAATAAAATTAATCTTTTTTAAACCATCATTGGCATCATGAGGAGTAATAAACTGAAATAGCTGGGGCATACAGAGAGAATAGCAGATGACAGAGGCAACCTTGTGAACTCAAGGGATTTGAATGGCTGTAGACCAGGAGGCAGAACAACCAGACCGCAGAGAGATAATATCTCAAGCATCCCTACGAAGACTTTGAGCCACCAGCTGGAAAGGGGCAGCCAGTTACAAAAAAGATATCAGCAGCAATGAACTGCAAGGACTCGGAATGCTGAAGAAGGCTGGGTCATCGGAATCAGCAGGATACATTTTAATTGAAGTTATGATTCTTGTCTTGTCGACCTCAGCCTTGAAAACTGGGGGGGGGGGGGAGAGAGTTTGTAATGTGCTTATAAAGGAAACTGGTCAACAAAACTTTTAAATGTAAGGGAACCGTCCTATTTTAAGCCAGTGGCCATTGTGCATATTATGTTACTCATATTTTTATAGACCCCCTCGACCTGGGAGCCTATTTCAGTTTTAAAGATGGAAAAAAATCAGCTATAATGCAGATTTGAACCCAAGTACTTTAAGCCCGCAGGGGTTCTTCTGGCCACTATGCCACCACGCTCCCACTTGTCAGTGTGGACACCTAGAATATGTGAGGGTTTAGCTCTCTTCCCCCCCCCCATCTCTCTCTCTCTTACACACACATGTGCACACACCTACTCTCTCTCCCCCCTCTCTCACCCACACACGTACACACACATATTCTCTCTCTATCCCCCCCCCCCCCCTCTGACACACACACGTACACACACATACTCTCTCTCCCCCCTCTCTCACACACACACGTACACACACATACTCTCTCTCTATCTCTCCCCCCTCTCTCACACACACGTACACACACATACTCTCCCCTCCTCTCTCACACACACACGTACACACACATACTCTCTCTCTCTTTTGTAGGCTTATGTCAGTGGGTAACCTTTGTTTTGTGTGTATGTGTAGAGACGCAGACGTGTGTGTGTGTGTAAAATTTTGCTAAAATTAATTGGTTGTTAATTATTACTTGTTGTGTGTGTTATTATATGTTACATATTATTGTATATACTTTTATATAATATGTACAATTGTTGTAATGATGTTGTTATTTGTTGTAACTAATATTGTTGCTCCACATATGTCTTTCACTTTAATGCATGCTTTTTCTGTTTCAGTTTTTTTTTTTTTTAATCTTGCTTATTTTTATATTTCTGCTGTTCATTTATTCCCCTTGCATTTACATTAGTGCTTGTATTAATAAAGACAGAATACATAATATAGAGGATAGTCATTTACTAACATGCTTAATGCTTTAGTGTTTGACAGAATCTCACAAGAACCTCACGCTACTAAATTAATTTAAACCTGTTCTCTCGCGACTTTTCCCTGTGTTAGTTACGGGGCTGCGATTTTAGAGGTTAGAAAAGATTATCCCCAGTGTGTTTTCCGGGGCCCCATTGTGGGGGAAACAAGAATAGACCCACTGCCTCCCCAAAAGCATGTCGTGAGAGTCGACTAATTGGGGAGCTTCCTTTGAAGTCAGAGTGCATCTGCCGGAGAGGCAAGGAACCAACAGTTTGCATTCAAGAGAATGAGATCTGTAAAACTGATGCACACGCAACACTCAGGTTCTGGAGCAGAACTGCAGTTCAGTAGTGGACGAGCAACCAGAACTTTCTGCCAGAGTGTACAGCTGGTGAACGCGAAGGAGGAGAAGATTACACCTACTGCCCCTTAGCAAACCTGTTATAAAAAGCTACTAATTTAGGCTTCGCTGAAATTCTTCTTCTTTCTTTGTGTTCACATACTGTAAATTCAGGTGGACAGTTCTAATTATTCATCCACTCCTGGACTTGAATCTCGTTCCAGAACTTGAGTTTTGCATGCACATCCCTTTTACTGATTTGGCTTATTTAGATGCAGACTGTTGGTTCTTTGCCTCTCAGGCAGATGCAGTATGACTTCGAGGAAGCTGAAATTTAATCTTTTGGACTAAAAGGCTCAAATATGCCTGCAGGTAAAGAATTCTTCTCATGCCTGTGAAGAATCAGGCATATAGGGCTAGACCTATATTTCTATAGACCAGTCTGCTTTTGTTGGGTCCTCCTTACCCACACAGGACTGCAGGTTGTGCCTGACTGGTGTCGCTATTAGATGAGTCCTAATTATAACTTCTTTGGAGGTTGAACAGGATAGATGGGATCTGCCTTGTTGGTCTGCCATCCAGGTTGAGGTTCTTTAATCTCAGGATGGTATGGTAGACCTTGAGGTAGCAGTCTGAAGGGGACAAACCAATCGGTTGATCAGCCTTATTTGGTGAGATGACCACCTTTACTTTCCAGGACATTAACTGGTGCCCATATAAAAGCTGAGTCAATAGACATCACAGCCTAGTTGTAAACCACAACACAACATGCCTACCCTTGAAGAACACAGAAGAAGCGCAGTGAAAGAAAAATCACTTCAGTTTGTTTAAGCTATCTTAAATTTAGAACTTTCATTATTTTCATTAACTTTTATGATCATAATTTACAAATAATTAGCCCATTATTTTCTTGGCTTGTCATTTTATCCATATGGACAGTACACCAGCAATAAAGTATGACATCCAGACTAACCAACAACGATTGTTTGAAATAAGCTAATGAAAGTAGATCTCTGTATACAACAATAAAAAAGAGACAAACACTGTTCTTTGGCCACGTAATGAGAAGAGAGACATTGGAGAACATCGTGACAACTAGAAAGATCAGTGGAAAAATGGGTAGAGGCAGACCAAGAGACGATGCTAGATAGGCTAAAACGATGGCATGGAGGGATATCATCAAGAGAGCTGTTCCAGACAACCAGGGACCATGTTTTTGGAGACGCATGACCGCCTACACCAGTTGGCAGGGCACATGATGATGATGAGTGTGACATGTCTACAGTTTAGGATAGCTAGCTCTGAAAGTACTGTTGATTATGCAGGCTGTGATGGCACCGATGTTCTGTAAAGGATTTGCTATGTGATGATGAAAATCTGGATTTAAAAAAAAAACAAAGGAACAAATAATTCAATGTGTACATTCTGACTGCAAGTCAGTTGAGATACAAGAAAGAACTCTTCTTGTGCTGAATGCATTATTACATACAGCTGAGAGAAAAGGACCCTTTTCCATCCACACCTTTAGCTGTACTGGAGATATAGTGCGAGACCTACATTTTGCAGACCAATCAGCAGTCAGTGGGTAATGTCATCAGCATCCCATTGGCTGCCTCCCTGAAACCTCGTTCAGCCGTGAGGTTATATTAGAGCCCCAGATGCATATTCAAACAGCAGGTGAAAGCAGCATCAGATGGCTCCATAGAATATTTAATGCAGCATGGGTACAACAAACTGCCCCTATTGATTGACAGCATGCAATAGTTATACCATTGTGGAAGAACAAAGGAAGCAAACGAGAATGCGGTCAATATCGAGGCATCTCTCTTTGCCATGTTGGCAAAATGTATGCCAAGATAATAGAAACAAGACTGAGACCAGTAATAGAACCACAGCTGGCAGATGGGATTTAGGAGAAATAGAAGCTGCACATATGCAATCTTCACACTTAAACAGTTAATAGAAAAGAACATTGAATACAATAAGAACTTATTTGTGGCCTTCGTAGACCAGGAGAAGGCATTTGACAGAGTCGACAGACAATTATTATGGAAAGTAATGGCAAGATATGGAGTAAGCGAACACCTCATTGAAGTGTGCAAAAGTTTATACAGGGATTGTAGAAGTGTAGCTAGAATAAATCAGGGAACATCTCATCCATTCACAGTGACATCTGGAGTAAGACAGGGGTGTGTCTTATCACCACTGCTGTTTATCACCTACATCGACAGTATATGCAAGAATGCCAAGCCCATGAATGAAAATGTTAGTAAGATCAACGAATTACTCTTTGCAGATGACCAGGCCTTGATAGCAGAGACAGCCATGAAATTGCAACAACATCTAACATCCTTGAATGAAGAATGTAAAGCAAATAATATGAGAATCAGCACTGAAAAGACAGAAGTAATGTCAATAGGAAAAAAGAAGACAGATCTAAA